ACTCCAAGGCCAAACTTGCCTGTTATTCCGGTTATCTTTTGGCTTCCTACTTTAGCATTCCAACCCCCCCATGATGATAAGGACATCATTTTTTGGTGTTAATTCTAGAAGGTGTTGTAGGCCTTTATAGAACCGGTCAACTTCAGCCTCTTCTGCATCAGTGGTTGGAGCATACTGTGATGTTGAATGGTTTGCCCTGGATTTGAACTGAGATCATTCTGTCATTTTGGGGATTGTATTCCAGTACTGCTTTTCCTACTCTTTTATTGACAATGAAGGCTACTCCATTTCTTCGGAGGTATTCTTGCCCGCAGTAGTATACCTGATGGTCATCTGAATTAAATTACCCATTCCTGTCCATTTTAGTTCACTGATTCCTAAAATGTCAATGTTCAGTCTTGTCATCTCTTGTTTGACCACGTCCAGCTTCCTTGATTCATGGATCTTACATTCCAGGTTCCTATGGAGTATAGATCTTTGCAGCATCAGACTCTCCTTTCACCACCAGATACATCAGCAACTGAGTGTCCTTTCAGCTTTGACCCTGTCGCTTCATTCTTTCTGGCGCTACTAGTACTAGCCCTCTGCTCTTCCCCAGTAGCATATTGGATACTTTCCGACCTGAGGGGCTCATCTTCCGGCGTCGTATCTTTTTGCCTTTTGGTACTGTCTATGAGGTTCATGGCAAAGATACTGGAGTGGGTTGCCATTTCCTTCTCCAGTGGATCACGTTTTGTCAGAGCTCTCTGCTATGACCTGTCCATCTTGGGTGGCCCTCCACAGCATAGCTCATAGCTTCATTGAGCTACACAAGCCCCTTCGCCATGACAAGGCAGTGATCCATGAAGGGGGGAAATATTTTACATTTATTTTATTTCTAAGTCACACTTGAGTGTCCCAACCTTTCTAAGAAATGTATACTACTTACCATCTTTATCTTTCAGTAACTTTTGGAAATCAGTAAAGGTTTATGCTTAGACAGGAAAAAGTCCTACAACTCCTAGCAATACTGACCAAGAAATTCTGGGAGTTGTATGCATGTTTTGTCTAAACATACATAGGATTTTGCCTTAAGTTTTTTTCATTATTCAAGCCAATGGCCTGATGAGATGCAAAGGGGACATAAAATTATTATTCAATATATTGAACCAATGAAAACAACCTAAAAGGAAAATAAAGTAAAATCATACATATTTATTTATTTAAAACATTTCTAGCCTGTCCTTTGCATAGCCTCAGGACGGCTTACAGCAAATGATTGAACAAGATAAAATATCTGGTGTTATAGTATATAACCCATCCCAGCAAGGAATTGCTGTCCTTATACTGACTGGATCTTTAGGACAGGAGACCCCAAATGGATAGTTTTAAAGTTCATGCAGCCTGATCATCGTGTACTTACTCAGAAGTAAGTCCCACTATATTCATTGGACTTTTGGATGTCAGGGCCCAGAAGAAGAAAAAAACCTGCTTATCCCCAAAAATTCATCTTTAATTGGACTAAATTCATCAGTAAGTATGCGGAGGATTGCAGTCTGGGAGGCACCTTCTAGGTAATTGTGTTGACGCTATATTGTGGGGAGGATCCAGCTATCTCCCCCCAAAATGGGGGGGGGGGCGGTTCTGCTGTGGGATATTTTTCCTGGTTGGTGACAAACATAGCCAATGGGCCCTGCTTTGGTCCAATTCATATATAAGAACAACATTGCAAGAGTCTGTGGCTATCAGAAAAACCATCTTCTCCCATACAAGGCTGCCCAGCTTTTGAGAACTTCAAGAGAAGCCCTTTTGGTACCAACACCTTCAAGCACATTTGGTGGTGACACAGAAAGGACCTTTTTACTGGCCACTCCCAGGCTGTGGAACTACCTGCTGAGGGATGCTAGGTTTCCTTTTACCTAAAAGCAAAAACCTGCAGGACTTTGGTGTGTAAGTGGGTCTGCTGTATTGGTATTTCAGTGTATTAGTTTAATCAAGTCTTACTTATGACATTTGTCTTGAAGGTAATTTTCCTTAGTAGAAGGTACAAATCTATTAGACTTGCATAATCCCTCTCCCTTCTTTATGAGGAAGTATTGATCGTGTTTAGCCTTGAGAAGAGAAGACTGAGGAGAGAATTGATGGCTTTCTGCAAGTACTTGAAAAGCAGTCATGCAGAGGGCCAGGGTCTCATCTAGATCACCCCAGAGTGCTGGACATAAAATAACTGGCCCAGGTCAGATTCCAGCTGAACATCAGCAAAAACTTGGATCCAGTTACCTGGAATATTATTAGTTCTGTCACAGTGGAGGCATTTATAATGTAGCTGAAAAGCTATCTCCTCGGAATGCTTTAATCTGGAGTCCTACACTGAGCAGAGGGTTGGACCTGATCACCTTATTGGCCCTTTCCAACTTTACTATTCTATGATACTGCAACTTTGAAAGTTTCCACTTCTCAGCTAACCACAGAATCCTATTAAGTCCAAACTGGGAACTGTGGTTTGTTCTAACTATGGCTGGATATCCTGGTCTATTAACCAACTACAGTTACGTCAAACCATAGTCTAATGTAAAGGACTACCTTCATCCAAATATGGAAGTGCTGTAATTCCTAAACAGGGGAAAGTAGGAGTGTGCAAGATGGAAGATCATATGATGCATGTTTTCAATGATAGTGTATAGGAGAGTTCAAATTTAATGATAATCCTTTAATGATGGTTAAATGTCTGATAGATGTTTAAAGCTAATGCCATCCCATTCTTACAGTCATTTTTCTGTGAAACATTTGAGGGCGATCCACTGATCCTGGTGAATTAAAACTAATTACACCAGTAAAAATGGTAATTAAATTGTCAACTTGAATGCAACAGTTTCAAAGAATTTAATTAGCTGTTTTGTAGGACAGAAAAACCATGAAAAGGATTGAGTATAAAATTCCACTGAATGTGGTTCACCATCATGCTCTTTTATGACTCTTTTAGGTAGCCTTTGTAGCACTTCAATCAGCATATTCACTTCTATGTAGCATTAAGACCTTGTCTAAGAATTTTCTCCACAAAGCTGCCGTCTTGGTTTGGCTTTTTAAATGTGTCACAATCAGAATTGTGCAACAAGGAGTACACAATGATAGTACAAGCCTGGGTTTGTCTTTTTATCTGTGTTTCAGATCTTGAGTCTATTTTTGTGAATGCATGAGACCTTTTGTTCAGGGTCTTTGGCTTGCAGAGAGCTTCGCCTTTTGAATCTGTCAGTGAAAAGTGGAGGCAGCAATGAGCCAGAAAAATACATGAAAGTGAGATTACAGATACAGATTTTCTACAAAAACCAAAGGTGGCCAAATTGGTAATAAGAATGTTTCCAAGTCATACTGGAATCATATCTTTAGTAGGCCAGCTCATAGGTCCCAAAAAAGTTCAAGATTTTGAGACCTGGATCTCTTCTTTAAGCAAGATGTTTCAGAAAGCAAGGAGGGAAGGGAGAACGGCTGACTTGATGCTGAAATCATAATGTCTACATAGAGTCTTAAGATGGTAGGGTGCAGTCATTGGGCTTCAGTGCTTCTGCTGACTGTGGGAGGAAGAAGGAGCAGACAAATGTTGATCTTCAATTTTTGACAATATAAAATTGAGCAGTTAACTCAGACATGTCCAGAACAATTAAAGACTTGAGCAAGCTGCAGTTTGAGAAACATATATTTTTATTTTAAGAATATGAATAAAAATTACAAAGAGATACCAAGGGTCCTTAAACAAATATTACATAGAATGTGAAGGTTAAAAAAAGGTGTAAATTAACAATTACTATCCTTTCTACTCAGTCACATTTTTGAAGTTAATTGCAATTTGTTGCAGATTGTTCTAATCGCAAACAATTTTTTGGAAAAATGCTGTTCTTTATTTTTCTATATTCATATAATCTATATTTTTCCATTGTTGTTATCCTCATTAAAATTGTGTAATACAATTTCCACTTAACAGTTTCTTTGCCTGGCTATCTTTCTACATAATTAGTCTTACCATTACTACATAGTCAGCTGACTTATTATGCTTAACATGGTGGCCACTGAAAGTGTATTTCTTGTTATTTTAACAAATCAAAGCTCTTCCTCAAGACACCAGTTAATCCATTTGTATCTCTAGGGGTAGTTTTAACTGCATCTTTCTTCATTGCCTAATAACAACAGAGCAACTGATTCAATCACAAGATGGGGAATATTTTTGAATAAAATTTCCTTAACTAAAGCATTTTCACCTCACTCTTCAGCTGAAAAAGCTCCCAGAGCAGTTTACAAACATCAAAAATAGGACAGCCCCAGACTGCAGGCTTACAGTCTAAAGTAGAGGTGCACAGCCCTTTTGATCTCAAGGGCAGCACTACACACAAGAATCTTTCTTGTTTAGTGCTAACAAATACTGTTTTATCTCTAGTCTTTTAGCAGAGATAAGAGATAAGGAAAGGATTTCTCTTGCTAGTTCTTGTGCTAGCACAGGAGACTTAGGCTCTGCCAATGCAATTTTATCCAGTGGCAGCAGAGTACCAGAAGCAGCTTGGCAGACTCTTTTGTTGGCAGCTCTGATCCAAATAGCAGGGACAGGAAAGACAGGGCTAGCCTTTAAATGCCTGCAACACCCTTTTCAAATTTTTAATACATGAGGATTATGAGAACACTCTGCAGTGACTTACCAGTTCAGCAAAATGACTTGCTAATTAATTGTGGTGGATTTATTATTCTATTAGAAGCAAGCACCAAGCCCTTCAAGCTACTAAAATGAGATAAAACGCAAGCAAGACATACTGAAATTCCCAAAGTTAGAGGAAAAGCTAAGATGTTTTCCATGATCAGGTGTGTCATCTTTCCCCACCCCATACTCCTTATGGTTATCAGAAGCATAATAAGTTATAAAATATAAGCAAATACATACCCATTTGTAGAATTAATACAATTAAGAGAATTTTGGCTTGAAACTTTTTGTAGTTAATAGCTTTAGTATTGTCTGTGTGCTTTCACTTCTTCTGCAGGTTCAAATGACATCTCATAGGGAAACTCAGTTTTCTGAAGGCGGCAGAAGTAAAAGTGTCATGAACGGAGCTGGAACCTCCCAAGGACAATGGGGTAGAGCCTGGTAAGAAGAGCCTATCACTGGAGAAATGCCTCTCTTTATGCTGTTTTCTGGGAGGTGAAATGATTGACAGATGAAGAGAATTCTAGCAGTTAGGACCTAGCAAGAGCTGATTGGTTTGACTCTCATGTAGGCTGAAGTGCCTAGGAGTTAGAGAGTGATAAATAATCTTTCAATAAAAGAAATTAGGTAGGAAACAGTGCAATTTCAAATCAAAGATCTGCAACCTGGTCCTTATATATTCAAGCGAAGGTGTTTGCTGACTTTACTATAATGGAGGAAAGCGTTCTTTGGGCATAAATAAGTATTATTAAATACCTTTAATTATTATCAAAGGAATATAAGTTTAGCTCCAAGGGCCACATATTTCCAGTAGTCCCAAAATACAGCAAGAACAAACTCTGTCAGCCAATGCATTTTTGGTGCTGGGAAATGTCGTATAGACAGAAGGAAGGGTTTAATTTGAAGAGACCTCAGGTAGAAGAGGCAGTGTTTCAGCTCAGGATCAAAGCAAAGAAAGCAGTGTTATGGGAATAAGCTACAAATGTCTAGGTGTGTTATGGCAAAATTGTGTAAAAGGAATCTTGATATATGGTGCATCAGATTAGAATTAAGTCCCTTTAAGTTTATTGGGACTTACTCTCAGGAATGCACAGTTACAACTGCACACAGAGAGTAAAGTCTGATTTACAGCTGCACGCTGAACTAGTTAGTATCCTGATAATTTCAAATGGATATGGATAGCACGGAGAACCTTGAGGAAGTCTGTTTAGGCAAGTGGAAATTATTTTTGTATTTACCCAGGCATTTCAGCCAGGAATTTGAATTGCTTTGTTGCTCTGATTCATTTTTATTTTCATTGGGTAAATTTTAATTGTGATGTTATTGTTAATAAAACAATTGTTATTTCTTGCACTGATAGTTCCCTGAAGTGTAGTTTCATGCATTTATTTAAAAACTTTAAGGGTCCATTTACTGGCTAGAGAACATTTCTGAGGAGGATGAATACTGGAACAGTTGGTTAAGGCGCTCCATCGACTTGAAATTTACCTGCAGCTAAATAAAGTACGGGTTCAAATAATGTGACAAGCTATAGTGGTTTTTTAACATTGTTCTGTCATCTTATCCAAAGCCAGTCATGATATTTCATCCTGGTAAGTTTAGTCTTTAGAAACTGTAAGACCAAATGTTTACCCCATGGTTTCTCTGGACTGCCATGGTTTGTCATGTTGTTTGAACCGAGGATCATGGTTTTTACAGTCCTGTTGTGCAAGTATCACAAAGACCTCTGGAATTAATGGCCACTGCAAAAGACACTTCAGCCAACCAGACCAATGAGGAAGGAGCAACAACATGGGCAGAGAGCAGCGCTCCTTGAGATTGAATTTCAGGTGTTGTGGGTGATGGGATATATGCAGGCAGCAGGAGGACTGAGCAGGGAAGATAGAAACCACTTGATCTTCTGTTGGGTAGATTATGACAAACTGCATAATGTGCTACCTACATAGAATTGCTTGTTGTGTTGTGTGCACCCAGCCTTCATGTTCAAATCTGGACAAACTGCTTTACTACTAATCTGGAACAAGCCAACTTTAAACCATGGTTTAAAAAGCATCTTTTTTTTTCAACTAACCCTTATAAACCACACTTTAGCATTTGAACTCCACATCCACAGAAGTAAATGTTTCTGGTCTGTTACTCATGTCTGCTTCAGAGAAAGTGAAAGGGTGTACATTACCATTGTTGGTTATGTCTGAACTAGGCTGTAGTCAAGACTCTCATCTTATTTAAGCTATCCAGTTCTTATTTTGTGTGATAATCCCTGTTTCTTTGTGTTTCAGGAAAGTTGACTGGTTTTCCTTAGTGGGTGTCATCTTTCTGCTCCTGTTTGCCCCCTTCATTGTGTATTATTTTATAATGTCGTGTGATCAGTACAACTGTTCTCTAACTAAACCAGCTATTGACTTGCTCATGGGAAAAGCCCACCTTTTGGATATCTGGAACAAGACACCACAATTGACCCGGAAAGCTGCAACCCTATATACTTCTTGGGTAATTTTCCAGGTAAGTGTCTGGAGGCTTCTCCAATGAAACCCAACAGGAATGAGTTCAGTATGTCTTATCTAAAGTTATGCCTGAAAGCATGAAGTTGAAAATTTTATGAGGTAAGAGTTGGGAGCTTGCCTTCATAACCACCTGAGTTAGTTTTAGGTAATTCAGACCCTTTATCATAAAGAAGTTTGATGCTCATTAATTTACTCTTCTAGGCATTTTTGTTCATGCTTCCTGACTTTTGCCATAAGTTTCTTCCTTACTATCGAGGAGGGGTACAAGAAGGTGCTGTGACACCTGCTGGTAAGATTTTTCTTGCCTATTTCGCATCACAAGATTTTCTAATACTATTAAGAAATAAAGACTGGGGAGGGGGGCGGGAAGGAATTTCTCATCCACTAAGGCAGTGCCTTTTGATCCATGTCTGTAGCCCACAAATAATTATGTACGTGATATGTGTGTTACGCAGTGTGAATCCCTGGGTTAGAAAAAGCACTGTTCACAACATCCTACCAAGGGTTTCTTGGAATGTGGGAGAGAACATAACCCATAGCACTTCTCTTTCGTAGTCACTCATCTGCTTAGATTTGACTTCACAGAGAATTCTTACCTCCTCTGCAATAAAGTATATGCCTACTTAGATCAGAGTCCACTATAAAAAATGCTGATTCCTCTGATTCATACTGAATCAGTATGCTTGCTACCAGGTAATTGCATTTTGATGCCTGGATATCTTGATAGTAAAAATCTGTGCAAAGAAGTAGTTCACCCAACTTGATGTACAAATATAAAGACAGCAGAATTCTTGCCCATTATTTCGGAAGCGTTTTCTTTCCTCCCTAGTCACCCTTGTATGTCCTCAGCAAAGGATTTCTAAATTTTCAAGCACCATCTACATGCTCAGAAGTTGAAAGGAAACCAAAAGTTTGAGAGTTAAATTAATCATCACTCAACCACTTAAGCACTCCACTGTCACAGTGAGACTGGCAATCTGCTGCATGTTCACACTTGGCTTCCTCTGCTGTTTGCTTTTAAAATACTTCTATCCTCCTTTTCTATTATAGAATGATATTCAAAGTGGTTTACAAAATTCAGAATTTACCTATAAATTGCAGGGTGGGATGGTTTAAACATTCATGGGTTTGTACCTGAAATAGTTTGAATTAGGGTACAACTTTTAGCTCTTATTAATTAGAGAAGGCACTGTGCAGAGCAAAATCCACCACTGTGGACTAAATGTATAACTAATCTGTGCTCTAGCATTGAAAGCTCAGGCATGAACTTTACTTTCTAAAGGAGTTGCTCATTAGTTTAGTTTTCCTTATGGGAGGATTTTAAATGAGGTTCAATCCTCTGCATGTTTAAACAAAAAATCCTGATCCCACCCGCCACAACCCCTCACCATAACTCCTGAATTGCATTTCCTGAAAACAAGGGAAAGAATTGCAGCGTTCACAGCATATGCAAATTCACAGGATAGGATGTTCTCTTTCTGCGCTTGGCTTATTTGGCATCACTACTGTATTGAATCATGCAACTCTCTTCCCTTTCAGGCATAGTACTTAAATATGAAATCAATGGACTTCAAGCGTGGCTTATCACACATGCACTCTGGTTTGCAAACATTTATTTCTTCCATTGGTTCTCACCCACCATCATTTTTGACAACTGGATTCCACTCTTATGGTGTGCAAATATCCTGGGCTATTTGGTGTCTGTATTTGCACTAATAAAAGCCTATTTTTTCCCATCTAATGCAAAAGATTGGTATGTTGGAATTGCTTATATTATTAAATACTTGATGTTTACGTATGTCTTTGGTGAGCACTACATTTATCATTCTGCTCAGTTAAGCTAATTAATTGAGTACATATTGCTCTACTTCAAGTTGTCACTTGAGATCAGATATAAAGATAAAACATATAAATACAGGATATTAAATTAAAAATAACATCAGTACTTTCATGCTTCTTTGGTGGGTGGGTGAAAATGCCTTCAATTTCATATGGTTTTAAAATTGTTTTTACATTAACTTTTTTGTTTCTGTGTTTTTTATACCATTTAGCAAATCCACTGGTAACTTCTTCTATGACTTCATGATGGGGGTTGAATTTAATCCTCGTTTAGGAAAGTGGTTTGATTTCAAACTGTTTTTCAATGGTCGCCCAGGAATTGTAGCATGGACTCTTATTAACCTCTCCTATGCCGCAAAACAACAGGAATTGTATGGACGTGTAACAAACTCCATGATACTTGTCAATGTCCTGCAGGTAAGCACAGATTCATTAAAAGCCAGGTTAATCTTACAAGCTGTTAACTTTAAAACTGACAAAGCTTTATAGCTAAAGCATGATACAGTCTTGTACTTATTTAGCTGTAGTGAAGTGTTGGTGGCAAATTGCCATTTTTCTCATTGCCTTAGTAAACACTAATTACACTGCACAAACATTGGTTTACACTCACACAACATCATTAGCACTAGTGTTGGAGCATAAATGAATATATATCGGCCAGAGTATGCTGGGAGCTGGAGACCTTTTTATGTTTAAATATGCATAGGATTGTGCCCTTAGTCTAACATAAATCTCTTTCATGTTAATAGGCCTTCTCTAAGTAGAACCAACATTGCTCTCTGCTTTTAGTGTGGTAGTGGATTATATGGCCCCTGAATTGTGTGTACATCTCTGTCAGGTTTTGGGGAGGGGTTGATTCTTCCATTCTTGACCCATACATTCAATTCATATCTGGTCTGAGCTTTTGTTCAGTAAGATCGAGAATCATTGAGCTCTAGCCAGTCCCTGTCTCATAGGCCCAGACGTCTCCTGGGTCCTGTTTCTGACTCCATGCTAGAGTGTGACGGTGATGGAAGGGAATGGTAGCAATGCTCTTCCTTTGTAAACTCTTCTTTAAGGTGGAGGTGGGAATTGTGGGGTGGTTCAAGGTATTGGATGCAGTGGAGCTTATCTGATAACAGCTGTAACTTGTGGAATTTTAGCAGTTGCATAAATTTAATGCACTTTGTTAATTGGCTCACAAGGACAGCACTTGTTTACCCTTTTAATATGTAACTCTGAATGGGTAGGGGATTGAGGGGGGATGATTCTCTATGTGATCGAATGAAGAGAAAAGCCTAATAAATATGTAACCGTTAAATGTTGGTTTCATAATATAACAGTGTGTTCTTTTCAGGCAATTTATGTTTTGGACTTTTTCTGGAATGAAGCTTGGTATCTGAAAACAATTGACATCTGCCACGATCACTTTGGATGGTATCTGGGCTGGGGAGACTGTGTCTGGCTGCCTTATCTCTATACCCTGCAGGTATCTTTTTATAGATATTCATTATCCAAGAATCAATAATTCATAGAAGCAACAACCATAGCAATTACATAGCAAAGGTCTTGTTCAATTACTTTGGACACATACTGTTACTCCTAACATCCCAAACCAAATTAATAATTGAAACCTAGATGGTCCTTTGTTTATTCATTGTATGTATAGTCTGTCTTGCTTTCAAAATTGTCACAATAGCCATTTTGAGAGATTGTGACTGCCTCATAGTCAACTAGTGAGTTTCATGGCTGACTGAAGGTTTAAACCTGAGTCACCCCTGTCCTTGTCTGACACTCTTACCATGATGTAATCTTTTAACACAAGATCAGTGATAACATTCAGTGTCGTTTATATCCTGACGCTAACCCTGAGCACTGTATCAGAAAAATAGTAGTTATACTTCTCTCCTTCTTGGCCCAAGAATTAATCACTCTCTAGCTTGGATTTGAAGGGTGCCAATTAAATAAGAATAGCTGCTTACATTCTCTTTTCACCCCTTCTTTTTCAGGGATTGTACTTAGTCTACCACCCTGTTCAACTTGCCACAGGTAACGCAGTTGGAATTCTACTGCTGGGTCTGGTAGGCTACTATATCTTCAGGATGGCCAATCATCAGAAAGATCTCTTTCGTCGCACTGATGGCAACTGTAAAATCTGGGGCAAGAAACCCAAATACATTGAATGCTTCTATATGTCAGCTGATGGGACCAAACATCATAGTAAACTGTTGACATCAGGATTCTGGGGAGTGGCGCGCCATTTTAACTATACAGGAGACTTGATGGGGTCCCTGGCGTACTGCCTCTGTTGTGGTTTTCAGGACATCCTCCCTTATTTCTACATCATTTACATGACCATTCTTCTGGTCCATCGCTGCATCAGGGACGAACACCGATGTGCCGGCAAGTATGGCAAGGATTGGAAGCGGTATACTGATACAGTACCATACCGTCTTTTTCCAGGGGTTTTTTAAATATTTCAAACATTAAATATATTTTGGAGGCCACCTATGAACAATATATTATCAATGGAGCAAGTTTTAAAGATGAGCTATATCTTTTGGATCATCTAATGGGGAATGACACACGCATTTGTTAAAACCGTTGTACCACTGAACTTACATAAACTTTTTAGGGATTATTTTGTGTTTTAAAAAGTCATTTTGTACTGTTTTTAATTACTTTTGTCCAAATAAGCTTCAAATTTAAAAATTAAGGAAATATTAGTTATAATAAAATCCATTGTGTTATTTCATTGTGGGTTATAGTCAATAGAGGGAAATGAAGTAGGAGCTAAGTAGGCCCTTTAAGATGTTCTTTTCTGTCATGTATTTTGTTCAATAGTTGTTCCTGAAGATTGTGTCTTGAGTGGGATCTTGAACTATAAATGAAAGAAATTTATTGTCTGATCTTCCAATAGACTTTCTGTAGCTGGATAGGAGATTCTGGAGGTTTCATTAAATTTCAAATGCAGATTTGTGAGAAAGAACAACAGAGGAAGGAAACAATTAGGAGGACTTTGATTAATTTGTTTGTTTTCTAGAAGTGTGCTGAACTGCGGCACTCACTAATTATCTTAGAAAGTTCCTGTATTCTATTGATACAAGTCCACTCTCAAAAATAAGGGATACAGTGTATGAAATATGTTGCTGTGGCTAATCTCAATTTTTTGAAAGCTGTGTGTCCCAGTTGATTAGAATTGGACTCAGCATATAAAAATGTAATACAGGATTAAAATTTTTTATTGCAAGATGGAAACTGCAGAAGCAGACTGCAGTTGACTTAAAATCAGTGTTACATATAACTAAGGATTATGTGTAATGACTCACATGTTTTATATAACACAGTTAAAAGAGATTATTGGCATAATTATTGCAAATACTTCACAACTTTGAGAACATTATTCTCAGATCATCTTGCTTATACATGTCCATGTGTGTGATACTTATCATACAGCTCAATCTGGGGTTGAGGAATGGAATGGAGACTAGCTCTAAAGTACATAGAGGCTTTCGCATTCCTAGAATTGGCTGTTTAGGATGATGGACTGGAAAAAAAGCAGGATCAACAGCCAATAGAACTCTGGACTAGTGTGATCCAGAGCAACGCATGGAAAGCAATGTGTATATTTTCACCTGCAGTGAAATAAAAAATTGAACTTACACCTGTATCCTATCCTAGCTGGCTTTGAAGTTTGCATTCCCTTTGGAAACTGCATACTGCACATGGAGGCATCAAAATATCCAATTCAAAGGCAGACTAAGGGAGAAGAGTATAATGCAGTTCCTGGGATTGTCAGCTGGTCCATACATCCAACTGTGACATTATTTTGTGTAAATGAGACACTTCTTTTCTCTTTCCTTTGAACAGACTTCTTCCCAAAGTACTGCCATACAATTAAGTTGCTTTACTGGCAGACTTACTGGATTTTTCATAGATTTTTTTAAAAAATGGGGGTGGGGTGAAAACCCATAACATTCAGTACAGTATTCCATCAGCAATCCCCTTAGCACAGTATAGACAAATGAAAAAAAAATGGCCAATGGATGCTCCAGAAATGTAACGAATAAAATTATTAGTGCTTTACATCTAAATCAGGCATGCTGATATATGATCATTTTAGTTAAAGTGGGGAAAGTATTTCAATATCAAAGCTTATGTACAACTGATACAAACAGTAAAAGCTTTTCCTTGTACTTCACAAATAATGTATGTTCATGCTAGAATTCTTGGAACCCTGTCGAAAACATTGCGATGATTTCTGGGCCACAGTGACAAGACAGGCCAACTCTGTATGCGTCTATCTGTTCTGCAGATTTCTGCTTGTACATTCCCTTTTTTGCTGACTCTGGCCATGTAGAAAAACCCAGAGTGGCAAGAGGTAACAGTGAGTGAGAACCCCTTTTCTCTGTCCAAGGCACCGCCTTGCTTCTTGGGCACAAGTAGGTGACTCTAAAGTGGTTAGGTAGGGTATGAAGAGGGGGGCTGTCAAGAAACGCAAACAGAGACCTCTAGTCTACACTGAACAAATACGTTTATCAAAGGAAAATAACAGATAACTGATAAAAGACTGGCGACTTACAAATAAAAGGTCTTAAAATTTTTTTAAAAAATAGAATGCAGGGACCACTAGGGGAATCATAATACATGGTGCAGGTTTGGATGAACAAAGGAGGTGATGTAAATACAAGCATCTTAGTTCATTTTTATGTTGCTTAGAAAGGGGGCTAAACATCCCAGATAAAAAACCTGTAGCCAATCAGTTGGGCAATGTAGTCAAGAAGAAACTTTTTGGGTCCAGAAGATAGGCTATGAGGGTGTTAATGGAAAGGAATAGGAGAAAGCTTTAATTTACTCTGGCAGATCAAAAGGTTTCCTGTTCTGTGGAGCAGGAAGCCTTGGGAAACCCATTCAGTATTCTGCTTGGGCTATGAATGGGCAACATCACAAGCATCTTCGAGTCATTGACTGACTTGTAAAATAACATTATAATGCAAGTTGTTGAATCCAGAGAAGTGCCCTGCTGTGAACAGAAGAGCTTTTCCTGGCTTAGTGCAAGTTCTTTCTGTTATCAAAAAGAACTGAAAATCCATTTTGACCTTTGTTCTACCTCTTGCGCAATAGCTCAAGTTGCATCTTTGTAATAAGTTAGTATTGTACAATGCCTTCCAATAGCGATTTTGCAATCGTTGCAGAACAGCAACACCAGCAGAATTCATTCTTGCAAGTGCATCTTTGGATCTATTGTTTTATCTTCCCATTTGGATTAGCTCTGATAAAAAGATGTTAAACTCCTCTCTAAAAGAGAGATGGTTATCAAAACAGAATCCAGTCTCCAACCTTGCAAAATTAACTTCCTTAAATGCCCTTTTCAGATGATATATGTTTGTTTTTCTGGGCAAGTGTTCCCTTGTCACATTCATTTATTGATTTATCTCCACTGTAGTGAAAATGGATTTGTGTGTCTTCTCTCGAATAGAACAGCCCAGAAGAAAAAATAATGCCACAACATCTTGTTGGATTAGGGCACGGAGGAAAATGCATTAAAAAAAAACCCTTTGAACAGCTTGGGTTATCTGGAGAAGGAGATGAGAAAATAGGAAGTTGATAGGTTAATTCAAAATGCTAACTATGACATACAACTCAGTAAAATCTTGACTTGTTTAGCTTGTCTGCCTTTAGTCTAAAGTGTTAATTTTATAGTCATTTCACAAGACTTCTTTGGGAATTTAGTTCCCACTTGTCATTTCTAGAAGGAAAGTTGGACAATTCAACCAGGTAACATTGTAAGGCAAAATGAGCATAACTACAAACACCTTGATTTTGTACTGATGATATATATTGTACTGATATATATTGTCTCAGCTAAAAAGAGACAATTTGCAATACCTTAAACTGAATATGGGTCCTTTTGAAACAGTAAGCTCCCAAACTGATTCCTTGTTAGACCTCAGAAGTATGGTAATTAGCAGTGTTCACAATTGCCATAGATTGGCTTGCTCTAAGGGCAGTGTCACACGTGTGTGAGCTTACTGGTTTTTCTCTTTCTGACTACTGAGCAAGAGTAAGAAAAGTTGTGAGCCGCCCCGAGGCAGCGGCGATAGGTGTGGCATAGAAATGTTATAAATAAATAAATAAAGTTGTGCATCCTTCAATCAGGTAGAATTACAGAGCTCCAGATGGTCATAGCACACATAAAATGGGGAACACTTTACCACTTTTAGCTTCTGAAGACAAAGTAGAATACAAATGTAATGAAGTTGAACACGTGAAATTCCCATATCATTTCCCATTAACTGTTCAAAGCATGCAAACTAGCTTATAAAATGCCCAGCTATGTATTGCCTGGCTCTTTTGCTATGTGCACACTCATATACTTGTACATATATAATAAAAGTATACAAAAGGGTAAATATATATATATATGTACAAATTTACATACTTATATCTACCCCAACCTAATGTTCAGCACAACTCAGTTGCAGGTAGCCACATAACCCCTGAGCCTCACAGAAGAGGCTGTAGTGGAGTTCATACACTTCTTATCATGTCTCCTCTCATTCACTGTTTTTTAAAATTATTTTTCCCTAAGCTGAACAACTGCAGACGTTGCAACCTTTCCTGCCCCCTGATCATTTTCATTGTCTTTTTTTTCCAACTCAACAATATAAATTTTTAGATATGGCAACCAAAACTGTCTAGTCAAGTGTGGCTGGACCAAACATTTGTGACGGGGCAGTATGATATTCATAGTTTTATGTTCCTTGCCCAATTATGCCTAACATGGAGTTTGCTTTCTTTCACAGCAACCATGTGCTGGTTTGACATTTTTGTTGTACAGGTAGTCCCCAAGTTATGAACATACGTACTTATGACAAACAGCCATAAAGCCATTAATTTAAACATTTGAGTTAAAGACAATGGTTTGTAGTAATGAATGCAAACCAGTTTCCACAGCCTACTGTGGAAATAATCACCACCATAGAGAAGAAGCAAAGGTGGGGAGAGGGAGGCCTCTAAAGCATGCCTTCTTACCTCACCCAGCTGAAGAAGGAAGTCTCTCCAGCATTTCCTTCATGCAAAGAGGAGGTGCTGGTGGGTGGAAGGAGGGTGGGGGATAAGAACATAAGAATGTACTAAATGAAGAAGAGAGTCTCTGATGGATCAGACCAAGGTCTGACAGAGAGGAGAAGCAATCCAGTGCACACATGGTCAGCAGTATGAAGAGTTAAGGTTTGGCAGGAGGCTAGAAATAAGATTTTTCCATTTTGCAGGGATTCTTTCCCCTAACCCCTGCAGTATGTTTTTATTTAAATAAAAAATTTCAACCTAAAAAAAAAAAAAATTCAACCTAACCCCCACAAATGTGGAGGGCTGACTGTATATGGGAGTGTTTCTTAAGTGTTTTCTATGCATATAAAGGTAGAATACATATGTATACTAAGACAAACATTTGGCTTACTCATGCTAAATACGACGTGTACATACATAATCTGACTTACATACAAATTTGACTTAAAGGCATTCTCAGAAATGGAACTTGTTTGTAACGTGGAGACAATCTGTACTGTCCATCACAACCTCAAGATGTCTTTCTTGGTTGATCACTACTAGCTCAGATCCTATTACTTCATATTACATCAGTTTTTCATTCCAGAAGCTCCTACTACCATGGCCAGGGTGAGGAATGCTTGGAGATGACATCTCAAACATCTGGAGATCTATTTTCTGCCCACACGACTAGACCAAAGGGTGCCCAAGCAGAGCAGGGGACGTTTAGCTGTTTGGAAGCAAAGTGAAAAGGGTACTGTGATCCAACTCCACTAACTTTAGGAAACTATAATGGCCCAGTGAACATAATCAGCATGAACTAGTCCAAAAATAAAAAACCCCACAGGTCACCTTTGTTTTTAACGGAGCTTTCAAGCATTTGTTATGTTCAAATCTTGAGGCTGAGTGTTGCTAAAGTTGTAACCTTACACGTGCCTCTCTTCAGCCCCACTGAACACAGTGAAATAGTCTTCCCCAACTTGGTGGCCTTTAGAGGTATTTGGACTGCAATTCCCAGAATTCCCACTCAGAGGGGCCATTGCCTGAAAATTCTGGGTGTTGCAGTCCAAACGTGTCAGGCAGGCACAAGGCTGGGGAAGGCTGCTTAAGGACTTACAATGCAATAGCACAAAACTTTTCAAAAGTAAGTCATATTGAGTTCAATGAGATTTACTCCCACCTAAGTGTATCTCGAATCTCGACCCAGCTTCTCAAGACATTACTTTAAACGTACGTGTTGCAAGCTATGTCGTCTTCTTGCTCTTCCTCTAGGGAACGCACCGAGGGCTGATTCTGATCTTAAATCGCCTCAATTTTCGCATCCTAGCTAGGATCCCGAACCGTGCTGTGACCCCTGCGCCTACTCCGGGACATTCAGAGCTGCTAAACCCACATTTAAAGGGATGCCTCCTTTAGCCTCGAAATTGAAGCCTTTTACAGCGGTGCTATCCAGCCTACAGCTATTCCGAATTAGGCTCCATTTCTGTCAGTGGACAATATCCCAGGTCAGCATGTCGCCCGGCAGCCTTAGCACCCCGATCACTCCAGGCTAGCGGCGGGGAGGCTCTTGGTCTCACAAATGCTGAAAAGATGCTCTGTCTCGCGTAGGAGGAGCGGAGAGCTCCCTCCGTGTAGCTCCGCCGCTTCCACCGCTTGCTTGCAGGCTGCCTCCGTGCCGCCAGGGGCCGGATCAACCAGCCTGGCACGCCGCATTCTCCGGCTCTTCCTCTTTCGCCTTAGAGGCGCTCGGGGCGGAGGGACGCGCGCGTGTGGCGGCGGTAACCAGGAAGTGGGACTGGGCTCCTGGAGGCGGCCAGGCAACCGGGGCGCCTTGGCCGGCAGGCATGGCGGGCGCCGGCCGTGAGGTGAGCAAGGCAGGGAGGGTCGCGCCAGGAAGGCTCGGCGGGGCTGCAGGCGAGAGCGCAGCGGAGGCTTCCAGGCGAGGGGTGCGGAAAAGGCCTAGAGGCGTGGCAAGTGGGCTGGGGTGGCGGGGAGAGGGCGGCTGCGCAGGTGATGGCGTCCTCGCCTGTGACCCTTCTCTCCGTGTCTCTCAGTACACCAAGCGAAGGCTGGTATTACCCCCCCCGCCCCCGCCGCTGTGTTCTGGACTACGACTCCCACAATCCCCGACCATTGGCAATGCTGCAAGGGTTCAAGGGAGGTGTAGTCCAAAATATCTGGACGGTGGCAGGTGAGCCTCTTCCTGCTCTAAGGAGGGCCTCCTCAAAGATCACAGCGATAAAAGTTTTTTTGTCGGGGAAAAAAGGAAAAGGGGAGAGGTGCTGGATGTGGGTCCAGCTCCTTTCCATCTTTTAACTCAAGTCTGGGCTGATTACAGTCCAAGGAAAGTCATGAATCCTGGCTGTGTGCTGTGCTGAAGTAGCAGCTGGTGTATCAGCTCCAAAAACACAGAGCTTGAAACTGTAGATGTTTCAAGGGGAGGGCCACTGCTTCCTCACACACTGTCATTCAAAGGTGGGGGATTATTTTCACAATAGACTTAAATAACTCAACTAAAATTTTAATGGTCCACAAATATGTTGGACTTACCAGAAGCCTGCCTTACAGCAGGCCCAGAATCTCGGAATGGTAAAGCCTTATTTAATCTGTCCTAAATTAGCTTGTGCATGCATTCCTGCTTATGCGGAGGAAATGCTTTGCTGGGTCACTAACCACGTTCAGGAAAAAAGTTCTGGCACTGAATAAATGGAAGAGCCTGGGCTGACTAGTCACACCACTGTTGTTGAGCCCCACCCCATAATGTCTATGCATAATGTGTAAGCATATGCAGAAAGGAAGTCTTCATATGCACATTCATGGAATCTGGAATCCTGCTCAATCAGGATTTCAGATTGCATAGATCCCTTTCCATGTATGGCTTCACATGTGAAGGCTTTGTCCCTTTAAACATGTAAACCTCATGAGAGGGGTTGGGGCAAGCCCAGAAAAATAGGGGCAGAAATAATCAGTGCATTCACTGAGTGCATGAGAGTTTCGTTTGAATAGCGCTACTAAGATTCAACCAGCTCAGCATTCTTTACAAATATCCTAAAAATCCGCAGGCCCAAACTGATCCTTTAGAAATTTATCCAAGATCCACCACTGAACTGTCTTCTGCCCACCTTAAATCTGTTTAGCAGCATCAAGGGATTAATCAGAATTTGAGCTCATCCCTGGAGCTTTACTTTTTTCCTCTAAGGCCAGTCTGCATTCAGAATTCCAAGGTCAGTACTGAATTCTTGGAGCACATGAAGTAAGAAGTAAGAAAAAATATGACCAAACATTTATGTAAGATCTAAACTAACCTTAATATGATTCAGTGAGAAAGAGAAAGAGAAAGTAGTAATTGCCTCTTTCAGTGTGAATCAAAAGTATCAGACCTTTTGGGTTTCTCTTTTATAGTAAGGACAATTTAAAGATCGACCACTCGGTCATTGCCTTTTATTTCTGAAGCAATGTTTTCCCCTTTGGAAATATGAATAAGACTAAAGGCTAATACAGCAGGGTAAAAATCCAATAAATAAATAACTCTAAAAGGGCTTTTTTTTCCTAAGAATGAATATAAACTTTCACATAATATAAATATAAACATCAAATTTTTGTCTGCCTTAAAAAAAAAATGTTTTCTTTAGAGAAATCCTTCCCAACGTGGTGCTTTGCAGATATTTCAATTTCAGCTCTCAGAAGTTGCAACCACCACTACCAGTATGTATAGTACTGGCTAGTAACTTGGAGTGGCAAGCTCATCAGTTTCAAAGTTGCTAATGTCTTTCATATAATTATTTGTAGCAAGTCTGAGAGAAAATATATACATGCCATTGAAATACATATATGTTTTTCATTGTGAAATGGCAACAATAATAAGTGACAATTGAATTGAAGATGCCCCAACAACTTTAGTGGAAGAGAATTTAATTCAGCTGAAATAAAAGTGTGGTTGTCAGCCTATCATGTATTCTTTACAATGCTACAATTAACAGTGTGCTCAGTGTCTTTGTTTTTTCCTGCCCCAGAGCACAGCATAATGTAACATTTAAAAAATATTTGTTTTAACTTTTTATCTCAAAATATTTCAGGTCAAATATTTGTAGTATATTGGGTCAAAACTTTAACTTAAGGACATGCTAAATTTGATTACTTTCTAGGATATCAATTTTTTTCTGATGCAAATGTCCCTATGTAAATTAGCAAATTTTATTCCAGTTGATTCTATTTTCCCATTCAATTTTTTTAGAAAACTGCTCAGGACCACAGAGGAAGAGGAAAAATTCCTCTTCCCTCCATTAGGGTTTGATTTAAAATTCTCCCTCCATTAGGGTTTGATTTAAGTAACAGCCTCAAACCACACATGCCTGCTCATGTTTTTTTGAATTTCAGGAAATTTCCACATGTTCACATGCAGTTTGGCCCTCATTATGAATCCAACCACATGACTTGATGCTAGTTTGGCCACTAGCTAGTATTTGACCATGGAATTATGTGCTTCCTAGCCTCATTTTCTTTACATGAGTTTCCACTGCCTTCTGTTTAACAGAGTTAAGAGTACTGTCTGTCTACTCTTAACAATGCATAATGCAAATCTAGTTCCAGGCTTATGTTAAGGACAGATGGACGTATATAGTTTTTGTCAGAGCTTCAATAAATATATCATTTTCTTTGTGGTGTACTTGCTGCTTTTATTTGTATATGGTAGATGCTTTAAGATGTAAATACATGTCCCAAGTTAGAAATAAGCAATACGAGTATTCTCTAAACTTGTAAGTAAATACTGTTTCTGGTTTGAAATATGTATTATGACATTTGTTACTTTTTAATTAACAGTGTAAAAATCACAGCCATGGTCCCCTTCATCACCATGGCCATAACTGTTCTAACTTATATGAAGACAAAGATCTACTGAAAGAGCAAGAGGGGCTTCCTTTTGTGGAAGACTACAATAATTTTGACATTGTCAAAGCAACCCAGTAAGTCTCCTGAATAATGTTATTAATTATTACAAAGTAATAATGTATATAACACATATTTTGAATCCTACCTGCAGGGTGTCATACAGGCAAGAGAGTGAACAGTAATGTTTTTGTATTGAGATATGTAAGATTTTGTTCTTATTATCCAAACCATTTCTCTACAATGTAGAAATGAACCAAATATGGTCTTCCTGAGGGCCATCCTCTTTCCCTGGCTTCACCATCTTTTTCCCCAACTGTAGTTTTTTGCCAGTTTCCCTGCTTTTATGTAGCTTTTTTCTCCATTCTAAAAGGTGCAGTTCCTGGCAATATGAGTGTGAAGCTAAAACATGCTGATACTTTTTGTATTTTTGGTTCCAGCTACTCTGCTTTCAGGCCCACAACTGAATGCAGCCCTAGAGAGCTTCTCTGAAACTCAGTTCCACCCTCAGGCTGAAAGATGTTCCCAACTCCTGATATATCCATAGCTGGAGAAGGATCTGCTTTTCACAGGAAGAACCAGCCCTTCCTGATCTAGGGTCAATTTCTTTTATATCTTTAAAAGAAATTATGTACATTGATACTTGTACATGTAAACAGACATGAATATAGTATAAACAAAAATATTAATATAAACAAAGAATATAAACAAAAATTACTAAGAATATGAAAAAACAAAATTGTATTCCAAGCTAATCTAAAATATGCAAACAAACATCACTGTAGACACATAAGGAATACCTTTGCTTCACATTTGCTTCACATTTTTATAACTTTTGGATCTTAAATGATACATTGCTGAGAATGTTGGCCAAGAAGCCAATGCAGGTGTTCTCCCAAGGGGAAAATCCTGTATTATCCAGCAAACTACCTGATGAAACTGACGAGTCAGCTGAGGAAGTACTGGGCACTTAAGTCTCTTATTTGCTTAGCCCACAAAATAATTTCACAAACTTGGACCTTTGGGGAAAGTTTTGTTGCCTGAAAGAATAGTCAGTGCATAACAATAGCTACTATGCCTTACTGTCTTCTTTGCAGTAACAAAAGCATTAGCTTCTCACGATACCATTGCAGGTGTGATACTTTGAGCCAAAGAAACAAACTTATCCCTTTGCAGATCACCCATTTTTGCTTCCTAATTCATTTTTATTTAATTTCTCTTTTAAATAAGCAAGACATGCAATTCTATTAAGCTTTTAAGTTATTAAGTACTACATCTACCAAGCTTTGGAAGCTATGAAGAATTGCTGAAGGTAAACTTCAACAGAGAGTGAAATCGTTACTAGATATGGGTGTTGCACCAATTACAATAACAATCTAAAAGTGTTCTCACTATGTGTCTTGTCACTGAAGGCAGTGTATTAAAGTGATAATCAGGAATTGTTTCTTCTCAATACATGCAGGAGGGCTTGGACAGAGCAGAATGAAATGCAGTTGCATTTGATCATAGCATGCAGAAATGGAAACTTAATTAAATAGAGCAGGTATAGGGAGCAAAAATGGAGATGTTTAAGTAACAGAAAATGGAATGGAAGAAAATGTTGTTATTTTTTGTATTACATTCACATTCTTTCTCTTTCCTAAATCTTTTTTCCTAGCATAATTATTGAGTTCAATTACCGATTCCCAGTGATGCAGCAGTCTTTTTTATAGTAGCATTACAGTCATCACCAATTAATTTACCCCTTAAATTTATTTATTTATTTTTAAAAGTTATATGCCATTTATGTATTTGTTTGTTTGTTTATAAATTTTGATATGCCATCCCAATACTAAAAGTCTCTGGACAGCTTACAGAAAATAGAAATTTTCAGTTCTTTCTTATTGTCATCTCTTGATAAGTTCAGAAATAGTTCTTCTCACTATCAGATTTAGACAGAACTAGTTAAAGTGAGTCCATCTTCCAATTTTTCCTCTTTGCTACTCGATTTTTCTCTTATTTCAGATATGGCCTGCTGGAGCGTTGTCAGGAATTAGTTGAAGCAGGATATGATGTAAGACAGCCAGACAAAGAAAATGTAACTCTTCTTCACTGGGCAGCAATCAATAATCGGCTGGATCTTGTAAAGTAAGTTGCCTTCAGTATGAGCATTTGTGAGAAATTGTGAGTGTGAAGGAATTATAGTATTTGTGCTCTTTTGATGATGATTGTATTTCCCCCCAAAAAAATCCATACTAAGAAAATCTGATAGAATGATTTGGTTGGTTTCAGAACTATAAAAGTCCATATTGTCCATAAATTATGCTGTATAACATTGAATAATGATTGACATTTCTTCATGTCACCTTGCTGAGACTTAGAATCACATATAATTGTTAAAAATAATATAGAACAAGTCAGTTTCCAGTAACTACATATAGATTACTAGAAACTGTTCTACAAGAGAAGGGTGAGGAATCTTAGGTCTGACATGAAGAGCTCTATTCTGGCATTAAATCAGCAGAGTTTTTCTCTCGATGTTCATTCATTACTTACTTAAAATTACCTTTTTATTTTTACACAGGTACTTTATTTCCAAAGGTGCAGTGGTGGATCAACTAGGAGGAGATTTAAATTCAACTCCACTTCATTGGGCTGTTAGGTATGGAATTTAGCAATCCTGCTTCTAACCATTTGACTATATACAGGTTATCGTACAGTGATGTAATATGTGACAGGAAAATGAGTTTGGATTTTGTGAAACTGGGTTTGCTAAAAAAATGTAGATTTCATATAGTAATCAAATGTTTATTTCCTGATGTACTCACAAATTGAGATTCGGGTTAAAAATCTAGAGATCCAGGAGTACAAGCAGCTGTTCTAAGAGCCCTGGGATAAAGAATGGGGTATAAAAACTGAAATAAATAAATAGATAGATGCTCTCTGTCATGCTTGCATTGTCACAGAATAGAATAGGGCAGGAGAGCAAAAGCTGCTCAGCTCCTGGGTAAGATAGGAGGATGGAGAAGAGCTCAGTGACTGATAGATGCTTTGACAGGTTTCACAGTACCTAGCACAAGCTCCCAAACAAAGCCCTTTTCCCTCATCCTGTCTTACATAATGAGTATTTGGTTAGGGGTTTCTCTCACTATATCTGAAACTCTGACTGGGGAGAGAAGAGTTGCAGTGGGCGAGCTAAGCATCCCTCTTGTCTGCTTGTTGCTTCTGCACTACCAGTTGCTACCTTCTGATGCCACTTTACAGTGAAGAAACAGTGGCTGATCACTGAGACACAGCAGTGTGCAGTTCAGCACTGGGACTGTGTTTGGCTGAGTGTGCCAGTATTCTTATCTGAGCACTGGCTTTTCTTCTTACAACTCCCTGTTCTGGTATAGCAGGTATGTATGGCAATGCCTGCTTACATATGTAGATTACTATCACAAAATTGGGGCAAATACTATATTTCACAACCTTGCTGTTGTCCTGTGCCATGAAGTCATCTATGACTTATGGCAACTCTGTGAATGAATGCCTCCCAGTATGTTCTGGACACCCTTGCTCAGCTCTTGTAAACTCAAGGCTGTGCCTTCCTTTATAGAATCCATTCATCTCATATTTGGTCTTCCTCTTCTTCTTCGCCTGCCTTCAACTTTCCCTAGTATTATTAACTTCTCCAGTGAGTCTTACCTTTTCATTATGTTCCCAAAGTATGGCAACTTCAGAGCAAGTTCTGGCTAGGACCCACTTGTTCATCTTTCAGTTGGTCCAGGATATTTGCTAAGCTTTCCTCCAGCACCATGTTTGAAATACATCAGGTTTCTTCCTGTCAGCTTTCTTCACAGTCTAGCTTTCAACGCTTTCTTCACTATCTAGCTTTCAACCCCATACAGAGTGATCATATAAAAAGCTTCAGTTAGTCATAAATTACAGATTTTAAGACAAGTTCACACAAAACCTGTGAGGGACCTGATTCCAAAGAGAATGACTTTGTTTCCTTTTCTAAAAAAAATGTATGGAACAGTTTGATTTTTTTTTAAATGCCAGTATGAAATAAGCAACTCTAATTCTTGATCGTAACTGCCTGTGGCAAAGTGGCACATTGTGTATAGCAAAGCTATTCACATAAGTAACTGCATGCCTGGTTGACTTGAAAAGAAAGTGAAAATTTTGTTTGAATTAAAATTAACAAGTTCCTCTTGTACATATGTATGTATTTGAGTTTGTCCTTATTTTGATTTAGTGGCAAAAAGCTCATTTTAAATAGTACGTTATGGCAGCAATTTTCTGAGGTCACACACTAGAGCTGCTGTATAGAAATGATATAAATGGAATGAATAAATGTTAGTAGAGGGGTGAACGTGCTGTTGCACCAGCGTCCTACCTGCAGTCTTTCAGTTAGCTTCTGGCTGGCAACTGTGAGGACAAAATGCTGGACTAGATAGGTCTGATCCAGTGTGGCTCTTATGTGATCACTTCCAGTTGATCTCATAATTCTTAAAGTCCATTTCTCTGACCCGTATACAACTATATATCTGTATATTGGTTCATATTTATTGTTCTCCCCTCACATTGTTCCTTTATGTATCTCCGTTCCTAGCAAAAACTCAAATAAGAAATCTACATGCAACACAAAGTTATTGTGTCCCTATAATTATTTTGTCAATTTTCAATATTTTAGTATTATTTTCCAAATAAATACCATATTTAAGTATTACATTTATATCCCACCCTTTCTTTCAGAAACTCAAAGTTGTATATACAATTTTCTTCCTCCAATTTTCTCCTCACAGCTCTGAGATAGCTTAGATGGACAGATGAAAACTGGATTTGTAGCTGCGTCTTCTCAGTCCTTACCTAAGAATTTTAACTATACTGCAGTGACTTAAAAAGTTGAGGCATTCCCTAATTACCCAATACCTAATTTAAAAGTTTCTCTCTCAGATCTTTTAAAAATATTTTTCTAATCCAAACTGTGTTTATTCATTTATTCTATCTCTCACAGGTACTTTTTGACAGCCACTTTTACATCATAGGAACAATTCTCTTCTTTCTAATATTTGGCTGCCATAAACATGTTTTGTTTGAATACATAAGCTGGAAAATCCATTATACCTGTATTAGAATAATTTCATGGGCTAACTGCTTAGCTACATCCATCCAGTCGACTTCTGAGGAAGCCTTACTGATAAATGCCTTGTCAAATAGTGTTGCCAAGTAACAGCATGAAAGTGGAGCTTTCTTGACAGGGCTACATACCCTCTGGAATATTGTTCGACAGGTTTTTAAGAAGCAGAATGTATGTTGAGCTTTAAACACCTTTTGAAGTTTTATCTGATTACATAGGCTTTCTCTGACTTGTGATGGATTATGGCACACCTCTGTTTTATGGTTGTCTCATAATATTTTATGTATGATTTGTTTTTCTGTTTTATATCTATATAGAAACATTTAGAAAAACAAAGTGACACAAAATTGCACAACAACAGCATATAGCCACACAGTAACAATCAGAGATACACTGAACTGGTCTTGAAAGTATTACTAATATATATATATATATGTATGTATGTATGTATGTATGTATAAACATACACACAAATATTCAAAGTTCCTGTTCCACATCCCTAATATAGGTTATGGTAGGTTGACCAGATGTTGGAATGAATGTTGTTGATAATGTGTTCTCTCATAGGAGGCCAAAGTTGTGAGGTCTTCAGTCCATTGTGTGGTTGACGGAAATGTGTTGTCTTTCCATACCCATAGTATGAGTCTCTTAGCCACCATGAGGGCTTGTATAGTCCACTTACAGTGGCCAGCAGATAGCTTCCAGGATGTGGGAATGTAATTCAGTACACTGATACATTTGAAAAGAATGATGTATCTAGGACAAAGTTGATGTGCCTAACAGTTTATGTCCAGATGGGGGCCACAATTGGCCATTTCCACATCATGTGTGCTAATGATGCTTCTGTTGTCCCACATCACCAACATTAATTGGAGGATGATAGTTTTTTCTGGAACAGGCACTGTGGAGCCCAGTATGCCTGAAAGAGCAGCTTTTGCTGTATAAAGCACAGTTTCAGATCAGGATAAATAGACTGTATAAAAGATGTAGCTATTTCCCACTGGTGTGGTTGGATGTGGCATTCTGATTCCCCACTCCACTCTTCTCTGAGTGTCTGGGTGTCATGTAGGTTGTATGTTAAGGGTTTTTTGTGAATATATAATTACTGGCTTGGTTGTCTTTGTAGAGCTAGTCAAGTCCTCAAATAATGTTGGAGATTCCAAGGCGGTAAATGATGCTGGGCCGTTTAGGGAATAGAACATATGTTTCATTGGATGGTGTTGCCAGCATGTGTTTTGGGGCAATTGATATGTCCTGTGTAAATCCGTGAAGAAGAGGAATTCAGTCTTTGCCTATCAACTGATCTAAAGTGACGATGCCTCTCTCAGCCCTCTCTCAGCCCACTCCAGAGGAACAGATCTTCAGATTTGGGTTACACCTGATTGTTAGCTTGGTGTATATGAAATGGGTCAAAGCACATTTGATGGGCCAACATCTGTCATGTCTTTCAGGCTGCCTGAATGGGGGTTGTAGAGCCCAGTGCCATCCATTGGGTATTTCACTCCTCTGTCACTGTTTTTGCATTGGTTTCGTGCTGTCGTGTGTGTGTGTGTGTCTGTATTGTAAACTGCTTAGGTTATTAAGCTACATAAAAGTAGAATTAATTAATTAAGCTCAGGACAGAGTTAGCTTTTTATCAGTGTTTTTATTTCTGCGAGTGGTAGAAATCCAACTTTTCTCCATAAGCAGTATTGTAAATATAAATGATTCTATTTCTTTCCAGGCAAGGGCATTTACCTATGGTTCTACTGTTGTTAAAATGTGGAGCAGATCCAACTCTAATTGATGGTGAAGGATACAGCAGCCTCCATTTAGCTGTGCTTTTTCAACACATGCCCATCATAGCTTACCTCATATCGAGGGGTCAGGTATGTATTTGATATGGCAGATCTACTTTTCTCATGTCAATATACTGTGTGAGAGCACTGTTATATAGCCTTTTGCCGAACAATTCATACTGAACCCATATTACTTCTGTTGTTTTTTTCCCTGCCCCCACAGCCTCCTGCATGTACCCAGATCTGCTCCAGAGCAGGTTTTGGAGGAGGGAACATGTGGGGACTGCAGCAGGGAGCAGAGCATGGGCAAATCCTGCTGCAGAAGTGGAGGTCTGCTCACAAAACGTTGGATTTAGTCCTTTATTTACTGTCCCAACAAGTGTTTCAGAGAGCCTATTCAATCTTTTAGCTCCCCTAAACATCCAAAGGAAAACTGTTTGCTATTTAAATTTAAATTGAGAATTAGAAGAGTCTGCCCCTCTTCTCACCCTGTTGGCCCTTTCTAACATAATGTTTTTAAAGGTTGCATACCATATCTTCCTCAGTTTAAAAAGAATACGTGTTTAATGATCACATACTTTTCTGAGATGCCATACCTATTAATTCCTTCCATTCTTCTTCAAAGTGCAAAAAGTGTTCCTACTAATACTACTTGCTGATATGTACCAAATTGCTAGTTTGAGTTTTGCTGCCATCTGTTAATGTCTTTCAGATTTATTACTTTACTACTTCAGACATTGGCTAGGTCCAGACAGCATGATAACCCACAATCAGGGGTTGAGTATGAATTGAGTGTAGGTTGTCATTGAACCTTTGTTTTTTATTGAAATCTGTGATAATTGTGTTTTCTGAACCCAGCCCTGCTAACCATGGTTTACTGACTAGGAACAATAACTCACCTTTCAATAACAGCCCACTCTTAGCCTATAATCAACCCTTGTGTGGGGGTTATTGTGTCATCTGAACTCAGCCACTGTGTTCTAACAACAGCAACCCATAAATTCATAGCAAGCAGTGTTTACAGCTCTTTAAAGTTACCTGTTCAGGCACTTCCATTTGGTTGTGAATGACTGAAGAGTATAGTCTGTATTAGAGTAAGCACAGCAAGGCCCATATGGAAAAGTTACTAGGTTTTAAATATTTTATGAAATACACAGTTTAATCCAATGCAGTATTGCCAGTTTCTGGCTCAGCTGTAGGTCTGACTCATTCATTTCCTGAACTTTTCATATTGTTTCATATTTAGAGTATAGATACTACTGATCACAATGGACAGACACCTCTTATGCTGTCAGCCCACAAAGTCATTGGGTGAGTAATGCTTAACATGCCATGCAATGCCATAGTATTTCCTCAGAAGGAAACCCCACTGATTTATTGAGGCCTCCACCTAACCAACATGTATGCAATTCCAACCTTAAACTTGTGTATTTAGAAACAGCAACTACCACCACCCAGTCCATCTTTCAGGAGGAAACAACACTGACTTACTTGTTATCAAAATGGTTATTCTCAGCTGATTGGCAAAGTCCTAAAATTAGAGTTATGTCATGGAAATGTGATGCACCCTGAATGTATAATTTTAATGAATTAATATATCCATGTTCAACGCCTACTGCATAAGACCTTTTGGATAACTGAATAATTCAAAAGGTAATTTTGTTTTCTATCAGTTACTTAGAAACTTTCCAACAATGTGCAGATTTTTCATTAAACATAAAAAGATGTTCACATTCTGAGTTTATTTAATTTGTTTATATACCATCCAACAGCCAAAGCACTTTGAGTGGTTTAGAAGTCTTGTCTAAGAATCACTTGGGGTGCATCCTGTTGCGATGCCTGCAAGCCCCTGAATTAGGTGCACTGCAGTCATTCTGTGCAGGACAGGAGTTGTCACCCCACCTTGCACTTTTGCTAGCTGGGATTTTTTACCTTTCTAGCAACGGTGTTTCAGAAGAGGTGGGAAAGAGACTGATGAAACTTCAGAATATCTCATATCCTGGCCTCTCTAGCCTTCTCTCCTCCTTCACCACCCTTGCAGCACTTCCATTTTCCTTTCTGTGGCATTGCTTTCCTGACAGTGGAGTGCAGCCAGCATGGCCCTTCTACATCTGCTTTAAGGGGAGCAGATCAGAGCTCTGATTCTCAGCTCCAGGGTCAGAGCACTACCTCCAAATGCAAATCTGGGGATATGGAGCATTTTCTAGCCAGCTAGCACTGTTTAGGGCCCATAAGACTGCACCCTTAGACATTAAATTTGTTTTAAGTGATAATTTTGGTACTGTTTATGCCTTCTTAACCAATTCTTTGCCCTTAAATTGGATATTATCCTGTTATTTTCTCCCTCAGAAAAAAAAGCTATGTTTGTTTATGTCTTTGTATATAACATTTGTATATGACCTGTTGCACAACATATTCTTAGTATAGATAAATTACACTACTGCATCAAGCTATTCTGGTCCAGTGATTTCACTTAGAAGTTTTATTAATTCAGTTATTCTGGTTTATAAACTGATTAAATACAGTGAATCTTGCCAGAAGACCTGAAAGCAACACGAAACCATGTTTCTTTTGTGACCAAAGCAATCTCACCAGATTAAAATTCTTTCTCATCTAGACAATGCAGTGTGCTCAGACGTGGAGGTCTCTTGCATGTAAGGGCTGATCAAGTTCTGTGAAGGACTGCAGTTCATGCTTATTTTTCTTACTTGGTTAAGATGTTCTTGGCCTCTCCTATTGCTTTAGGTTTAGGGTAATAGCTTTGGCAGGATTCTTGCTTCATTGAAAAAAGCATTTGCTTTGCATGGGCAGAATGTGTTTCCAGGTGAGATTCCCTTGCCCTAAAAAAGCAGTGCAATTATTCCACCTCCGTGGGGAGAATGGCAAGTGTATAAAAAGATATTAACATTGTCTGAATACGCCCTTTCCCTTTACCAGTAAACTTGGTGAATGTGGTGGGGTGATTGCAGTAAAAGCCTTATCAGAAACTACACAAGCTCCCAGTTTAATTGCAAATATCTTCCAGTTAAAAGGATAACAAAGCAGGTAATGTGATCTATTTGTGCCTGCCATAGCCACAGGCAACCAAGTTCCCTTTAGATGCCTTGCATGACAGTCCCCATACTCCCTGACTATTTGCCACCTTGGCTAGGGTTAGAGAATTGTAGTCCAAACATCTGGAGGATATTGGGTAGCCTAGCCTCTAGATCATGGGTCTTCAAACTACGGCTCGCGGGCCCAATCCGGCCCGCCATGCCCATTTCTCTGGTCCACCTCAGGTTTTGGACTTCCTGTGCCCACACCCACTGCCGCCCACCTCGCCACACATGCGCCCTCCTCGGATGGGAGGATTAGCTTATTTAGGATTACCTAAAACAGCTAATCCTCCCACCCAGTGTATCTTTACTTACCTAAAAACTGGTCAATGCAACTGCAAATTTCCCATGTCCAAAATGTTTTGGCAGTACTCTTTATATCAGACTTTAAGATCTCTTTAATGCCAGGTAATGCAGGAAGAGTCCTGTGCCACTGTCAAGATGAACTGGTAAATCTGTTAGTTTTAGAGGACTCAGTCTTAGAGGAATCATTTGGCGCTTGATGCAGCAGGCTTCCATGACTGCCCCTCTGAAATGTATTCTTAGCTATCAGCTCGCCAGGGTAATTCTTAATACAACTAATTCTTTAAAATATATAGTCAGTGTGAAGTGTCATCTTCTTACTAACTTGTATTTTTTTCCAGGGTGGAACCGACTCGTTTCCTATTAAAGTTTAATCCTTCTATCAAAGCTGTAGACAACATAGAGAAGAACACTGCATTACACTGGGCCATTGTAGCAGGAAATGTCAGTGCTGTAGATGTACTGTTGGAAGCTGGGGCCAGCCTGGACATCAAAAATGCCAAGGTATTGTTCTTCATTATCCTTGAAGGTCTTCCTGACTATAAAGTATATCTTTGGAGCTAAATCCTCCTTCCTTCTAAAGCAAAAATAGATTGATTTCAGTTTGAAAGCAAAGAACAGCATTAGCCATATCCTTTTTCTTTTCTTAAATTATAAGTAATATTGCTGCCTGTGCAGTGTTCAAAAGGCAAATGTGTGCCTGGATGCCTTATCTATGTGAAAGATTTAGTGTCTTTATAAATATGAAAACTAGGGATTAGACTGGGTGGAGAGTGCTGGGAATTGTAGGACTTTTCCTATCTACATATGCTTAGGATTGCCTCATAAGATTGTAAACCGTGAAGTTTCTGGTTTGTTGTAAACTCACCCACTGACCTTATTTAGGTCACTATTCCTCAGCCTCAGTATTCATCTGCAATATGGGTATAATAAAGGCCTCATCTTGCAAAGATGTAAAGGTTCCTGGAAAATATATATTGAAAGCGTTTATAGAGCTCAAAATACTGAATAAATGTTGGCTGGCATCCAAAGTACTGTGATCTTTTCATTGCCCTGAAGTGGACTTTAGGCTCATTTATTGAACAAAAGCCACAATTTCCATGCCTCAAGGCAAATCATTGAAGTGTTTTGCAGAGCAGGAAGGCTGTGAGCATCTCACTGGGCTGCACTCTTGGTCTTGGAAAAGATGTGCTTTTATGATGTCCTTTTGTGAGTAGTTTAATTTGTGATTTTTAAAATAGCATAGCTAAGTAAATGTAGGATTGTGACATTAAATTAACAAAGTATAATTTCTTACATCTTTAAGGATGTGTATGCATTTAAATAACATAAGATAAGGCATTAATTATGTCCTTTTACTAATCCTGTTGTATTGTGTATTGCAGAACATTTAAAACATCCCATTCAGTCAGTCTTCTGGCATATCCTTAGGAATTTTAATACTACCTAATTTAAAGTTTACTTAGAGATATAACTCTGTGCCACACAGAGCATGCAATTATTCAAATCCATTTATAATTACTGCTGATTTTATAATAGTCCTTCAATTTGTCATAATTGGATTTATTTGCATAAAGATAATATATCTGTTAATCTTCTCCCCCATGTTTTTAAACATTTTTATGAGCTTATCAACTTGCAACAAAAATGTTACGTTCTGCTTTGTCAAGTTCCATTAGAATTATCCCCTCCTAAGTATAAATCTTAGGAGTAGGTACTTAGTTGGATTTTAAAATGTAGTAGCTAAATAATGCTTTTGAACTTTTCCTGATTGTTCTTGATTCTTAAAATAGTTAATGCATTTTTTAAAGGGAGACACACCACTTGATCTTGCTCAGCAAACTAAAAATCGTATTATTATTCACTTGCTTTCTGAAGAAGAAAGAATGAGAAAAAGAAGAACTTCAAGGTTTCTGAGGATTCTGGAAAAAAATGAGGTATTACACTGAACCAAATCTGTGCATCCAGCAATGTATTTTTTTAAAACAAAACAAAATAGGATGGTGGAGGATTAACAAAGATTAGGTGGGTTGGAACTGGCCATGGAACAGAGCCAAGGCTCCGTTGGCAGACCAGCATAGGAGAAAGGATGGTGGAAAGGTAGAGTTGAAGAAAGCAAGAAGAAAGTGCAGATGGAGGAGAAACCTCACCAAGCAGAGAATAGAATTCAGCCCCCAAGGGGACTCTAGTAGGCTTTAATAGAAGAGAAATTTCTACCAGGTATACAGTATTCTCCATCACAGCAGCACCTGGCAGCAGCCACATTTTGACTAGACTGCAGCAGAGGCAGATAGGAAGCAGGACTATTTCATCAGCTCTACCAAAAGACCAGACTCTTTGGGCCTCTCTTTTCCTGGAAATCTTTGCATTTCTCCTGGTCATTGTGAGAAGTACTCATACTCGTGAACCCTAAGAATTGGTACCTGTGTCTTTGTTTTTCCTTTTTCTTTCTCATCCCCTTTTCCTTCCATCTTATGCTGTAAGCCAGTGAGCATGGCCTGCCTTTACTGATTGTATGCAAGCCATTCTGGGAGCCTTTTTAGCTGAAAAAGTGCTTCAAATGAAGACATGCATCTGGAAGAGGCTGCTGTGCTCCGTAACTCTTGAGAGCTACAAGAGTCCTCTTAGAGTGTAAATCTGACACCAGTGAAGTAGGAAAAGGTGAAATGCAACTGAGAAATGACAGAAGGTCACCTGCTTATTTAAACAAATCAGCCAGATGTTTAACTACAGATGCCTAATTATAGTTTAGTGTAGCAAAAACAGACAGACAGACATAAGATGAGTCAGTGTATTTTGTATTTTTAAGTTAATGTATATATTATCTGGTCCTAGAAGGAGGACAGTAGTTATGCCTGTAATATTACTCCCTATCAAGCAGAGAAAGGAAAAGCCAACATGAAGGAACATGTCTGGGAGAAAAGGTTCCTGGTGTGAGATTGGCTCTGCTTTGAAGCTGATAGGCATGGCTGCTTCAGCAATTGTGCTTCTCTCTTACCTCCTTTTAAAGCAGCATCTTCTTCCAGCTTATTTGCTAGGTTTTTCATTTTGGTTCCTCTGTGCCACATTGTAATGACACCTATTTTTATTTCCTTTGATTGTAGTTCTTGCTGTTGTTTGTCTCATCTCTGGTGTTGATCTGGGCAATAGGATATGTAACAGACCTAAATTCTGATTCTTGGCTATTGAAAGGAAGCTTACTAATCTTCATGCTTCTTGTTCTGTCCCTGTTTGCAAGGTAAGCACATCTAGATTTCTCTTGACTACTTCTCCATTACAAAAAAAAATCGCTTCCTTTACAGCAGCATTCCCCAACCTGTTGATCTCCAGATGTATTGGAACATTAGTCTGATCACCTAAGTGAAAATGTTTAATTAAAGCATGATGACCCTGTTAATAGGTGCCTGCCACCCCCTCTTCAAACAAATGAAGTGATTCTTCCATTCATTTGAATGGGGGTGGAGTTGTCTGTGCCAAGAAATGTCTGAGGTGGAAAAGTGCACCCCTTCACCAAGGACCCCTAAAACAAGAAGAGCTTTTGGCTGGTGCTGAACTTTTCTCCTACTCCAGCCAGTCTTTGGAAAATGGCTTTATTCGGCTTCAGAAGGTGAGAGAAAGAGGAGCCAGGGAGAGGGAGGGACCAGAGAGAAAGAAAGGAGCCAGAGAGAGACAAAGGGGATGAAAGAAAGAGGTACTGAAATCACTTCCATATTAGCAAATGCATAAACTCCTGTGTCATATATAACAATCATGCACTCATGTAGTTCATGGAGTCAGGACCCATGCAACCGCACTTGGCTTTGGGTTCTCCGAGTGTGCACATTCTGCAATAAATTACATGGCTGTATGGATGGCAGTGCATATGTGGGTTTCATGCAGGTGCCTAACATGCATAGAAATAGTGCATTAAAATTATTCAAATGCCATGATGCACTTTAAGTTGTATCAATTTTTATGGGACTAAGTAAGGCCCAGTTGAGACAACAGCATGAAACCGTGGTTTCTCACTATATGCATGAGGCTGCGCAGGCCTTGAACTTGTACTATCTCCCTACCTCTCCTTCGTTACAAGTGGAAGTGAACATAAACTTTGGCTCTCATTTTAAAGCACAGCTCTGTTATATTTACAGCCATGTTATTTATATATGAACATAGGGAACCACAGTTTGATTTGACCAGTTAGGTAAATCAGGATTAAACTGGCTTGTTCTGAAGTGTCAACACATAACTCAGTTTCTTAAGAGCCAGAAATATATTTTGATCAAGAAACATAGATGAACCTGAGAAATAGATCCACAGTATATTTTAAAATATTACTTTAAATGTTTGTGTGTCAGATGCTGCTCTGAAATGGTCTTTTTCCCCTTTTCAGGATGTTTGTCGGATTCAACAAACTAAAATATTTTCCAGTAGCATTTATGCTTGGTTCTGTCTTCTGGATATCATGGACCTGCTTCATCTGTTTCCTGCCAGATATCCTTTGCATTTGGTAAATAATGCAGAATAATCACAAGTCATGTTCTTGTGCCTGCTTTCTGCAGAAAGTTAGTTATAAAATCTGATTTTTAACTTTTGTGAGGAAGCCTCTCAGCAGCAGAGCATACACCTCACAAGACGTTGTCAAAAGACTTTTGAGTGACTTAACAAAAGACATTGAGATTGTATGATAAGTAATATTTGCTGAGAGGTGCTTGTCCTATCAAGAAGAAAGGATCATATCTAAAGCACCTGGAGGTAATTTACCTTTACAGGTCCCAGTCTAATTTAAGCACAGTGACCTCAAATCTAAGAACCCAGCCTGAGATTGTGCACTTCTTAACCTCGTAAAACATACCTCCAGCTATCAGGGCATTTGGCACTGATGGCTAGTATGGCAGGCAAGAGAAGGGAAAGGAGATACTGAATGGAGTCCATTGCTGTTTTTAACTTCACTATTGTCCGTGCTTCCTAGATGTAGCGTCTTCTCTTTCTCAGCAACATTCTTTTCTAATATTAGTAGGGCAGAGTTATAGAGAGTTTATTCTTGCTGGGTCCTTTTCCAAGTTGAAAACACACCATGACTCTTTTTGCTAACAGAGCAACTTGTCCGAATGGCTTCTGTACTAATTTACATGGCTGCATTAAGTGAACAGCATGAATTTAATATGTAAATATTATATTTGCTGGCTTCTATTTTTCCTTGTTTCTGCATGCAGGGCTTAATAAAATCATTTTCTTAACAAAACAAACAAAGATAACAGTAGAGAGATTCTTGTAAGTAAAAGTAATTACTGTTTTAAACTAGCTGTAATCTATTCTAGTCCTAAATAGTATTCCAGTGTTAATTACCACATCTCTGAAGTGGCATTTTCTTTTTGCATGCTTTTTAATGAGATCTCATTAATACAATTATCTGGATTAATTCCTGTGAATTACTTGGACATTTTCCAGCTTTGGATGCATGCATATATTTGCTTGATTACAAAAAAAAAAAAAAAGATACTTAGTAATTGTGCTGCTGCATTCTGATTTTAAAGCTCCCTTTTTCATAATGATTGCAAAGTAGTTATAATCTTGTATTTTAGGCACTAAATAAGCCTTCCCCAATCCTGTAACGTCTAGGTGTTTTGAACTACATCAGTCTCAGCCAGCATGGTTAGTCAGGGATGATGGAAGTTACACTCTAAAATGCTTTCTGGGTGCTAGCTTTGAGGAGGAGCTGGTTTATTGCCTGAAATAGGTTATGAAAAACTCTACCATAAGCAACAGGACCAAGCCACCTTATAATTATAACTAATGTTGCAAGTATGAGGCCTTCCTTATTGTTGGTTTGTGCACTTTATATATTTTTGCCACAGATTATTTTCCTGAAATCTGTCAACACCTTCTGCCAGCCCTTTAGTTTTCTGTAATGAACAAAGGAAGGGAAATTAATAAAAATAGAAATTGGAAAAGAAGGCAACTTCATGTTAGGAATTCTTGCAAACTAGCGTAAGTGGCAAAATCTATTTTTTCTTGAATTATGAATTAATTCTTCAGAAAATTAACTTTAATCAATGGTGTCAAATGCAAGGACTCATGCTAAAATATCTAATTGGTACATAGATAAATGAGGCTATATTGGATGTTAATCAGAGTCTTCTCAGTACCCAAGAATTCCAATTTCTATGCAAAAACAAACTGTTGTTTTATAAACAGAAAAAGAAATAAGGCAGCATCTAAGGGGTGATCCAGAGGTTTTTTTTTTTTTTTTAATGTTATCCATTTACATGGTGAACATTGCTTGATGCTGTCTTGAATTAAACCTCGGAGTTGAATGAGAAATCAAAGAGCAAAAGTTGGTAGCTTAGGAGCAAGGAGGGACCATAATGAAGATAAGAAACAATTGAGCTCTATTTCATGTTAGAGACAGATGGCATAATCAGACAGTATCTTTTCCCTGATGCATTATCTGGAAAGCAATCTCAGCATATCCACACAGAGAAAAAAAATTGAATATGGCCTAAGTCCAGTCAGTCCCCAAGGCTCCAGTAGTTGGTTGTCACTTTGTCCTCATATATGGGAACACTGTGTTTGTGCTGTATTTGGGCACTGTATTCCCATATGGGAAGTTAGCCACATGCAATGTGCTGTGGATCAGGACAGGATCATCCCATTCAGCCTAGTGCAGTGATGGCAAACCCATGGCATGCTTGCCCAAAGGGGCATGCAGAGCCCTCTCTGCCACACTCTGTTGCCCCAGAAGCCATGTGCATATTCAGAAAGATTATGGGTGCCAGGCAAAGATGTCACTCATTAGCTGCAACTCGCAAAATTTTCACATGGTCAGTGAGCTGCCAGAGTTTTGCATGGACTGTGACTTTAGCAAGATGCAGGTGGCACAGTGGTTTAAACTGCTGTGCTCGTTGATCGAAAGGTTGCCAGTTCGAGTCTGCACAACCTGTTGTGATTTTAGCAGAAGGTAGGAAAGGTAGGAAATACATTCAGGTAGGAAATACACTCAGATGCCTTTTTCAGGGCTGGCCAAAAGCTGGTGGTCAGTGGAACGTTGCCCCCTTGTGCTGGTGGTCAGCAAATTCAGGTTTTATTTCAGTGTTGGCACTTTGTGATAAATAAGTGGATTCTGAGTTGCAGTTTAGGCACTCGGTTTCTAAAAGGTTCGCTATCACTGCTCTAGAGTATCCATTCACTGTACTGACTTAAGATTCTAATAATAGACACAGAATGTATCAATTATGTTCAGCGTTCAAATGTTTGATGTAAATTAGGTATACAAGTATTAAATCTAATAACTATTTTGCTCTATCCATTTAATCAGAATAAGTATTCTGTGGGGTATATGAAGTTGGGCTGGTAGATCAAAAGGTCGCCGGTTCGAATTTGCACAACGGGGTGAGTTCCCGTTGCTCCGTCCCAGCTCTTGCCAACCTTGCAGTTCAAAAGCATGCAAATGCAAGTAGATAAAAATATACCACTTCGGTGGGCAGGTAACAGTGTTCTGTGCACTTCGGTGTTTAGTCATACCGGCCACATGACCACGGAGACTGTCTGCGGACAAACGCTGGCTCCCTCGGCTAGGAAATGGAGATGCGCACCGCCCCCTAGAGTCAGGCAGGACTGGACTTAATGTCAAGGGGAAACCTTTACCTTTACCTTTAATTTATTTTTAGAAGCTATGCTGGGATCTTCTGAAATTTTCCCTTGTTACCAATTCCTTAAATAATTGCTTTATAGATTTCTAATTTAGATTTCCTATTTTTTGCTCATTATGAACCTGATAATTTCTGTTTTGAAGCTGCAAATTCTTTCAATTTTGTTACAGTTCAATTTTCTTGTCAGGAATTTTGTTCCTGAATCTTATTTCCTCTTTAAGAGCCTTCCTCTCAGGAAAAAATGCAATTTTCTTTGATGTTCCTTTGTCTCTAAAGATACAAAAACAACAAACAAACATACCACATAATTCATCTAGGTTTTTTTTCTATTTTTTTAGTGAATATCAAAAGTCATTCATTCAAATTAATAAAACCAACTAGTTCAGAGGTCAGTTCATCAAACACTGAAGAAATCAGTTTACCAAATGAAACAAAATGGTTCAATGAGTAATTCCAAATTAACTGAACAATCATTTCCCCAGCTGCATCATCAATCAGTTCATCAAGTCATGAATCAATTTCAGTAGGGCTAATAGATGATACATAAAGGGAAGCCTATACTAAACACAGTGAAGTACATTCATAGCTATGGGATCAGTTGAATCTCTCTTTGTTGAATGTTCTTCAGTATTGGCCTCAACAGTGTTGAACATATGCTTAATGATATTGCCAGACAATATTGAAATCCTCATTAGAAGATAGTTTGACTTTTGCTCAGTATTAATATTAATGTGAATCTTGTAGAGTAGAAGTGCTGAATCTAGAAATAAAGGGGATCCCATGAAATGTTAGGTACTTCTGCATTTATGTGTTAGTGTTAGAAATAGTTTATTGCTTCTCAGCTTGCAGCAGCTTTATTATGATTTGATTTTGAATAATAGCTTGGGGGAGGAATGTTTGTTTGCAGCAGTTATATGAATTAAGAAAACATGTTCCTTAACAGATGGTCACATTTTTCGGGGACAGCTTCTCAGCTTCCCTTTTTTCTTGGTATGGTAGGCCTTCTCTATTATTTCTACAAAACTGTCAGAAGTGATCCTGGATACATTAAGACTTCAGAAGAAGAGAATAAAAAGGTATTTTTGTACAAAAAAATATCTGCAATAATAATACCAATGGTAATAACAACCTAATCAAGAACAGCAAAATTGAGCAATATATGTTTTAATATAATGATTCCCTCCTCATTTAAAGCCTCACTGAATATTCACCAGGAACAGAAACCTAAAAAAAGTAGTGAGGGTCTAGGACAGCAAGCAAACCCTTCCGTACTTAAGGCTTGTTTACTTGTGTTTGTAGCAAGCTGGAGATCACTTCCATTTTCTTGATGATTAATGTGACTGGCTTTGGGCGAAGTTTTAGAAGCAGGCAAAATGCACCCTCCGATTAGAATCTTCTTTTCTTTTGCTTGCAGGGTTTTCAGAAACCCAGTTCAGGCATTCCCTCTAAAAGCATGGAGGAACAGGTTCATGCCCCCTAGTCCATTTTCTCTGTTTACTTCCATGCAGTCAGTGGAACAGCTGAAAGGGCTTCTTTCACATTTATGGCTGTACGCTTGTCAGTTCTTCCACATGATTAGGAAGGTCTGAATAGGGATGGAGTCTTGCAAGCTTTTCTTCATTAGTTTCCATCTTTGTAATACCATATGGAGTGATCCCATGCCTAGTAGAAGCAAAATGGGGACATCCACAGGTGACATAATGGTGTCTGAGTATTCATGGCTGAATATTCATAAGTTAAAAGAAACTGGAGGGGGAAATAGCCCAAATTGGACAGTATGTGCTTGAACCTCCAGGATCCATGAAACATTGAGGCTATCCAGAGAGTGGGAAACTGTCCTGCTTGAGTCCTCATAGCTTATAATGACTGGATTTGCACAATCAGGGAAGGCAAAGAAGCTATGTGGCTTCTTTCTGTAGGCCATGTGTGCTGCTTGTGTGTTGCTTCATTTCCATAATTACTCATGCTGGGGGTGAGTTGCCATATCATCCAAGCTGGCGAGGTGGGCAGTGCAGGTGGATTCCAAACCACCCTTAAACTGATGGCTTGTTGTAAGGTTCTAGCAGCATGGGTGCTAGATGCGCCTCTGGGGAGCCTATTCCAGAGGTAGGACGCAACTGTCAAGAAGGCCCTTTTTCTGACTCCCTAAGAATAACTTCCTCACTTGATCCTAATGGACAGGTAGGGACATACAGGAGAAGGTGATCCTTCAGCTACCTGGGACCCAAGCCATTTAGGGCTTTAAATTGTACTTTACATTGGACCTGGACTTCCACTGGTAGCCAGTGTATTTGGTATAAGACTGGTTTTATATGGGCTTGCAGACTAGTTCTTGTCAGCAATGGCATGGTCCTATTTTGAACCAGTTGGAGTGTCCAGACTGTCTTAAAAGGCAGCGTGTCACAATAATATAAAGCGTGTTACAATAATCCAACCAGGGTGTGACTAGGATGTGCTTTGTCAAGATGTGGCCGTAATTGGTAAATTAGCCACAGTTGGAGGAAGGTGCTCCTGGGCACTGAGTCAACTTGAGACTCAAGTGAGAGTTTTGGATCCAGGAGCTCCTGCAAACTGTGGACTCTGTCCTTTAGGGGAAGCATGATTCTATCCAGGACAGAGTGCAGGCCATTCAACCCTTCTGACTGACTGCCCACCAACAGTACTTCCATTTTGTCTGAATTGAGCCTCAGTTTATTGACTGTCATCCAGTCCATTATCAAGCTCAGACACCAGTGCAGGACAGACCACCTCACCTGGATTTGAAGTGAATGAGAAGTAGAGCTGAATATCATCTGCATATTGTTGTGATTTCAGTCCAAACCTTCAGATAACCTCTCCCAGCAGCATTAAAGAGCATGTGGGGGCGGGGGGTGGGGGGAGTATAGCATCCTGCAGATCCCCATGGCGTAACCAACATGGCTTCTGGACCTGGTTTGCCAGGTAGGAGCAGAACTACTGCAAAGTGGTGCCCCCAACCCAGCCAACCTGTCCAGAAGGACAACAAGGTTAATTGTGTCGAAAGCTCAAATATACCTCTACCCCACAGGATAACATTCAGGTTCAAGGCTAGATGCCTTCCAAACTTCCTGAGTTCATTTTGCAGTGTCTCTTCTGCAGTTTGCTGTCTTGTATCCTCTGATTATATTAAAGGCAATTAAAATGCCTTAGATTGGAATATTGTCATAGATGAAAAGCCCAGTTCTGTCATATCTCCCAATATTGCATGGGAGAAAGCTATAAAGCTGAATATAAAATATAAAGGATTTCCTCTTCTTGGCCCAAATGACACTTCTGAAGTCCTGAAACTGAAAAATGATTGTGAAACTCCCATCTTTCAGAATATCCTGACACTTGGAGAATCTGGCTGCTTGGATTTCAGAACCTTTTGCACATCTTGTCTTGTAAGTTGGGCTTTTCTTATTGCATTTGACATACAGTACAAGAAATTGCATACACATGTACCCACAAACACTCTCATCTCACTCAAGGCTCTCTCTCATTTTCTGCTTGCATTTTCACATGTTGGGGTGTCCACAGAGAGTTGAATTCAAGATTATTCTTGAACAGAAGTGCAGATCTTCTGCCTTGTTTCTTTGGCTGTGTGTAGTCACACACATCCACCCCTTCAATGGCAGGAAGGTAGGCAGATTGTGTGACTGCACAGGAGGTGGTCTAAAAGGAAGAGGAGAAAAGCCCTGCAGAATTAGGTCAAAGGCCTCTCTGGTGCAGCATTACTGTTTCCCATCAGGGCAAACTAGATGCCTCTGAGAAGCAAGAGCAATTACAGATCGGCACTTCTATTTTCAGAGAGCTTTCTAAGTTAGTTTAACAACCCCTTGAATGCTTTGTGAAGCCTGCAGGTGCACCTCTCTCTCTAATAGCTGTGCAACAATCATAAACCTAGTCACAGTGTGTTGTCTGGTCCTGAGAGCTGCTGTTCTGGCATAACAGCTCATAACATAAGAATCACAATTTTTCGTATAAGAACTGTCAGCAACAGTGGGCAGATATTGGCAAACTGGCTTCTGAACAGTTCTGAGGTGGAACCTGCTTGTTGGCACAGGCCTTCATTTTATGTTGTGTATCTGTATGTTTATTTTGTCAAAACAGGTTTTAGTAGCTTCGGTAATAATATAGGTTGCATTCTGCTTGCTGAGCATAGGAGGTCACTGTGTCATGTCTGACTGTAATATAGTACTGCTGTTCTTACTCTTTCAGGCACGGCCAGTTGGTCAGAGGGGTTTTACGTTTCAGGGCCAGTCCTGCCATGTGCCTGGGTGAATCAGTCTGTGGCAGGGCAGAAGGCAGTAGTAAATGGAAACAGGAATTGCTGCCTAGATGGTGTAAATTTTGGCCACAATAGGGGAGACGGGGGAAGATGCATTGTATTTGAGCACTGTTTAAGGCAGCAAATGTCTCGTTGTTGATACGGTATGTTTGTATGCTTGTTCACTGTTTTGAGTGCTGGAAAGAAGTTTATAAATAGTATAATTAAAACAGATTAGAATTCAAGTTTCTTTATTGCCAGTAATGAATTTTAAATGCATTTCAGGAATTTCCATCTTACTGTAATTTAATAAAGGAGAGAGGAAGAGAGTCAGATGCTAGGAGCAGTGAGTTTTGTATTACCATAAAAACATTGTATGAATTTAGATCTAGAGAAGCACACAATTGCTTGCTCTCTCACAAGGGCATGTTGCAACTTTTCTCGCAGGAAACCCCTCAGCTTCTCCCCTTCACCAAAATTTTTGTCAGCCCTTCAGAACTGTACCCTGTGTTGCGTGCCTGTAAGGCTGCTTGCTTCCTAGCCCCATTCACATATGCATATGCACACTGGTTTCTTGAAACCCAGCTGGTCATATTGGCTGACCAAAGGTCAGATCATGGCTCACACAGCTGGATTTTGTCTTGCTGGAAGATAACAAAATGTGGAGCTCAGTTTCTTATAGAAGTATTATTTTTAAAAACAAGCAGGGCCTTTGTGAAGATGTGTGGTCCATGAGTTAATTATCTCCCCTTTTCCTAGGTGAAAAAACCTTTGAGATCTATGCACTGCAGCATTTGCAACTCGTGTGTAGCTAGGTATGACCAGCATTGCATTTGGATTGGACAGTGCATAGGTGAGTTTATTTTAGCAGAACTGGAATTCCTTTGTTGGTGCCAGGAATGTGTCTAATGACTTGAAAGGACAGCCCTTAGCAGATCATGTGAAGAATCTCTAGCAGTAGAGTGTGGTGCGCAGTGCTGTTGACAGGCTCCCCAGGGGACTGACTACAAGCAGCTCAGCTCTGCCTTCTAGAACTTAGGAGTACAATAGTTTCAGCTGTTTGGATATTGTTACATTGTCTCAGTTTTGAAATACTGAAGAGCTTGGGTGTTAGGTTAATTCTGATTTTGGTTATCAATTCTAACTAAAATATGTTGCTCCTGTTTTATATACACCTGCTGGGGTAGATGCCATTGAAAATAAGTGGAGTAAATTTTTATAGGATTACATTGCGCATTTCTTTGGAGCAAGCAGACATTGCACTGCACATTTCTGTTCTTCTAACTGCTGTGATTTCAGTGGGTTCTGAAGTTGCCAAACCCTACACAGCTTGTTCGAAAAGACTGAGATCTTTAGTCTGTTAATTTCTTGTAAAAAGCTTTCAGTGAATTTGAGGGAGGTCAGTGGGAGAAAGATCTTGCCTTGTGATTTTGATATACATGGACCCTTACAAAGCTTTCTCATCTAGGTGTTGGCAACCATTGTTATTTTGTCCTGTTTCTCCTTTTCCTGTCTGTGGTGAATATCTGGGCAATATATGGAACAATTCTATGTACGTATTCCCAACTCTTAATGCACTATTTGTCTTTGCTAGCACTTAAGTTAGAAAGTAATACAGGCTCCAGAGAAAAGGAAGACTCCAGGCCTAGCTTTGGATATGAAGAGGTCAGGTGAAATAGCCATGAGTGAGTTATGCTTGCAGATCACACAGTGTCTGGCACACAAAGGTATCTCTGAGATAGTGAAGCAAAAGGCTGTCACTTTTTATTAGGACCAGCTTGTGCCTATAAAGCAGTATCTCTGGATAAGACTTTATTTTTGTTTCAAAAGGTCTGCTGCAAATAGACCTTGGATCCTGATCTTATGTGGGAGTGGCTGTCCATATTTATCTTTAGATTAAGCTAGCTCTGTTAGTGGTGAAATAAGCTTATGCAGTGTCTTCTGAGAAGTTCACAGTCATCTGTTTTCTGAGGTGCTCATTATTTAAAATACACATTTCTTTTCTTAGATTGGTCAGAACACTGCACAACAACGTATCAGCAAGATGGAATCTGGACTTCCTTCACACAGATCGTGTCCTGTTCTCCATGGGTCTTGTACATTTTCACACTAGTATCTTTTCACACTTCATGGGCTTTGTTTTTGCTAATTCTTCAGCTTTATCAGGTATTGTTCTATTCTATTTTATGTACATCCCTGAAAAGCATTGCCGTATTTGGTATTTCTTCAATTGGCCTACATTTGTGCTATCCATAATTGGCATTCCAGAATTGAACCTCAGATGTGTGCATATCTAATCACAGTTCAAACTCACTAATATCAGTGGAGAGTACTTCTGCAGATCAGTATATTAAGAAAATGGCATATGCTATTTCGAATTTTACAAGTGGGGCCTCAACCAAAATGTTGCACGATGGACTTCTCCCAGATACTCCATTCCATTCTTCCTCCCACCTGATCATTTGCCCCCCCTCAGCCCCCACAACAGTCAGCCTGTATTCCATGGCCACTCGACAAGCTCAGTCCATATTGGGCTATTGTCTAGATCCTTCCTCCTTTGGATTTATTCTAAAATTGATTGCCATTAGTGCAAACCTTGGGGTGACTGCAAACTTGCTGATGCTTCCTTAGTATGTATAGATGTGTGTGTTCTTGATAACACCACTTCCAGATGTAGAATATTGTATATTTGCAGGATTATAAATGCCTCCTTTAGGTTTGGGTTCTCAGGTTAATTTTGATGTGTAACAAATGTTTGTTTTTGGACAATCTGTGTTCTGATGAAGGAGCACAAGAAAGCAATAGTTCTGGTGTCTGTTTCTAAAAATACAGTATGAATACTTTACTCTGCCCAGTGGAGAGATTAGTGCTGAACTGAAAATGGTTGTTTAGCTCAGCTGTTCATCATTATTCTGTGCAAAATGCCCCATGACCTCTGGAGTTAGCTGGCTGAGAACATTAAGTCTACATTTTCCTTCTTTTTTGTGTTGCTACAAATAGAAGAAAGTATGGGGTCACTTCATGTGTGCTTGCTTTTAGCCAAGAAGGAAATAGTGAAAAAATACTTTAGCTGAGTTTATATTGGTCTTAATGCAAACCTATTGATGCATTTATTTTTCATTAATGTTGGCCCTTCTCAAGGGTTCAAAACCATACAGAGGACAGAACTGTGTAGTAAATTCTTCCCTTTCACAGACATTTCAAGCAGAAGTCTGAGATCCATCTTTTCCCTCTTATTTTTTTACTCCTTGTGGAACTGTGCATATAAGGCAAGGGTTGAAGATAAGTTAGAACAGGTTCAGAGCTCAGCAGCTGAGGTCAAGCAGCTGGCTGTCCATTTTACCTCGTAACATTAAGTTTTGACACATTTTTATTTCTAGCAAATACACCCAACTCTATACAGATGTGAACTACCCCTAGTCTGACACATCAGAGCTTTCAAGCAAACTTGATGCAGCTGTCAAAGATGATCACATTGCGCCCACCCTGCCTTGTTGAAGCCGTGTCTGCAGGCAACCATAAGCACAGTTCCTGCCATGGTGCAGCCCACAGCCTCTGATGGAGGAGACTGCCCACTCCATTATAACAGAGACGAGGGGACAAACATGTAACTTTGTCCCATGGACTACTGGGCCCTGGCTTAAAACTCTATTTAGTGTCACGCTATGTACCGTTTAAGGAAGTCTGCCACATAGTGGCACAAATTGGTACTGCAGGCATCAAGTACACAGGTGTAGTTTATATTAATGCATTTTAACAATCAAATAAAACCAAAACCAAGGAGCACCCCCCAGGGTCCTCTTGGTATGTGTGCAAGCTTTCAGGTGTTTAGAATTCATGGTCTTGGTGCTGTGGTTCAAACACCCCCTTTTTGTTACAGCATCACTATAATACCTTTTTTTAGTACAATAAAACTTTACCCAATTTGAGGCCAGAATTCTAGCACTTAATATCATAATTCAAACAGAAGTAGATCCTAATCACAGTCCTTCTGAATTACTGTCAGCTGCATAATAATGAGCAAAGCATCCAAATTTCACTTGCTTTTTTCTGTAGGAAAAATGGCTTTGCTTGGTGGATATTTTAATTCTGTAAGATACATTCTAATGTGGCTCAAGGTAGTAAAATACTCTTTGAAACCATGCCAAGTTTTTTCTGTTCATGATACAATCTGTTTAGGACTCCATCTTGGAACATGTTTAGGTGTAAAAAAGGGTTAGAGCCACCAGCATACCCCAGTCATTCCGGGATGGAGCATGTTGTGAGCTGTAAGATTATTTCTGTCAAAACAAACATACAATTGCACCAGAATGGAATTAAATTAAAGGATGGTACAGTTCTTCACTTGGTCTGGTGGGCCTAGTAATGTGGCAGTCACTATAGGTTTCATGGCATCACACAGAGACTGCTATGAGCACACACATCTAATGGGTTGGATTTAGACCTCTGTCAGTAGTTAGGAACAGTGTGTTGAAGAGACACTATTAGCATTCCCTCTCTCCCACTATTTCACTATGTGGTGTGCATTTAAGTGGAAAGGGATTAGTTTCTTACGGTTTATTTAAAATGCAAGAAAAGATTGATTATGTTTTAAGTACCTCTGACCCTTCAAACGGTGCATCACTTGTTTCAGGAGTCTTATTGAATTGGTTTTCTGTTGGCATTCTCATTTTTTTCTTCAAGATTGCATTTCTTGGATTGACCTCTCATGAGAGGATTACCCTCTGGAGGCAGAGTAAGCATTCCAAGCGTCCCATTTCACTCAGTAAGACTCCATATAAGTAAGTCATGTTTTGGAGAGATGCATTTCTTTTAAAAATTATGGAATTATTGTTACTGTGATTAAGTGTCATCACTGCCATTGTGAATGATGGTGCTAGTGGTAGTTTTTCATAACTGCTGCTTTTAAAACAAACCAACAATTGCACAGAATTATTCCCAAATCTGTTTCTATAACAGCAGCAAAATTAATTCATTTTCCTGTAAGTTGTGGAACCTTATAGTTAAATTGTGAAGGCTTAGAATACTGGCTGCATATTCAGCGTAAGGTAGAGCAATGTGTGTGGCAGGAAGTGCCACAAACCTCTAGGAATTTTTGTGCAAGTGAGGAAGCCATGTAATTTGGCTCCTGCAAAACACCACCCAGCCAGTTATTCTACTGCCATGCTTTGGGGCCTACCACCTAGCAATGACTTGGGCCAAGGTGGCACATGGGGGAAACGTACTGCCTTTCTGTCACAATGATCCATGACGTGGAATGCAGCGGAAACACTAATTACTAATTCAGTGATTACTTGTGGATCTGCAGATTGCTCATGGAAACTAATTCATTTTAGGATTTCATATAATGATAAACCTACATGTTTAAGGTATACAGCATAATATAAAGTAACGCTCAGTATCATGCCATTTAGTTCAGAGTGCTCTTGAGTATCTCATAATTCCAAAGCTGCCCTTACAGAGAAGTTTCAGAGCACTTCTGCGAATTCATGTATCAGAATGTTAAATCTTTATCACAGAGCAGCTTCTGTACAGTGTCTGAAGTGACAGGTACTTGTTCTGAATGACTGAGTGCCAATTATGTGTCAGTTTGCTCCCAAGGCATGGGAGGGACATCAATCTAACCTTGGTGCAGTGGTGCTTAAGATCAATGCTAATTTGTAGCAGTATCTGCAGTGACCCTGAGAAAAGACAGAGAAGCTAAAAGGATGTGCACAAATAACATCCACGTTCCTTGCTAGGGACTGATAGACAGGAGGAGAATCCAAGCTTTCATTCCTGTCCTGAATATGGTGGATATCTCTTGCAAAATCTCTATGTTCATAAATGGAGTCCAGAATTCACAGTAGAGCAATTCCTGCTGGTTAACAATCTGTTTTAGCTGTTTTTAATTTTTTAATATTTTTGCTGAGTTTTATGGTATTTTATTGTATTTTTATTATTTGTTTTTATGGATTGTGTAAATCTCCTGGAGAGCTTCAGCTGTAGGGTTCTGTAGAAATGAAATAAAAAAATAACTAAAATTTGGGGAAATAGTGAGCATGCTATCTATGGTTTTTCTAGATGGTGGACACTTTATTTTTCCTGCTGTCTGTGCACTGTTAGAGTTCCTTACATACAGCCAAACATGTGCTGATATTTTTTTAAAATATAAAGTCACTATTTCCTGTGGTCCTGTGAGAATTCTGAAAGTATGCAGAGGCAGCTGCTGGGCTGCATTCACATGGAACTGCAGTATGTAAGAACTAATTCCTCCATATAGGGTCTATATGAATATAGAGCAATGTTAAGTCACAATTTGAATATTCCCTTCACTGGAGTACCTCTGAACTGCAAGCAGCCTCTGGAACTATAATATATGTTTCAGTTCCTTTCTTATGCTGATAATTGTGGAAAAACATTTCCTTTTTCACTATGTGGTTTTCTTCTCCTTCCTAGCCATGGATGCTTCCAGAACCTAGCAGACTTCTTTCAGTGCAGATGTTTTGGAATGCTCAAGCCCAACAGAATTGACTGGACTAAGCAATACACCCTAATATTTCAGTCAGTAAAGGATCGTAATGTTCATTCTGTGTGAAAAAAAAAATAAAATCCTTGGGATTTACTGGAAGCTTTAAAATATGTATATTTGGTATATTGTATATGCATTACAAATTATTTTATAATTTCCTTTGTTCTATTGGTCTTACTGCTATTTTGAAAACAAAGTTTACATGAATAAACTGCTGCAAGCAGAACAATGTTATCACAACTATAGTTTACCCAAGACATTTACCAGTAGGTTCATTTGGAAGGAAATAGAACTATAAAAAGACATTTTTCAAATTGCTAATGCAATTTGGTAAAGCAATATGGGGATCCTGTGCATTTTTAATACATGTCCATTGATTGAAATTTGCACACATTATGGTTAAGGGAAATAAAAGATGTTTTGAAGTCTAAAATATTTTAGCATAGGAAACCTGGTTTGTAATTTTAGAAATGTGTCCCTCTTTGTAAGTCTGTACAAAAGTTGTTTAGATTTAATATATTCATGGACATGTTTAAATTAGAAGTTTTTTGTATTTAATAGTGATAGATTTTCAAATATTCAAGAGAAATCATGTTTTATAAATCAAGTAACTGTAAGCAAGACTCTAAATATATTAATTGATGATTGAAATATTTATCTGAGTCAGACTAATACATTTATGACAATGAAAATGCTAATGATATTTTCAAGGTGCATTTTGGACCACAAGTACAGAGTTTTATACACTCCTTTTCCTTAAAATTGAAGAGATTAATAACTCACTCAGACGTTCTCTGTGTGCAGCTGTAAAGTGGCGCAAATCATATTTCACATTGGCACTGACACACAGCAAGACTCCAATGTACCCTGAGCTTTATGCCAGAGCAAAGCAGAACAGAGGTGACATTGAAGAAAATCAGAGCAAAATAATAAACAGTAAACAGATATGGCTTCACATTAGATGTCTGATTGTAAAATTTGCTCAGGCTCCATTGTCTACCTCAGCCTTTCCCAGCCAGCTATTTTGGAGTTCAAGTCCCATCAGCTGCAGCTAGCATGGCCAGAGGTCAGGAATGCTACGAGATGTAGTCCACACCATCTCCAGGACATATCTTTCAGTATTACTGACCACTGTCCATAATAGCTGCAGCTGATGGGACTTGAACTCCAAAACAACTGAAGGACAACAGATTTGGGAAAGTTCTTGCTTTGAATGGGAGAAGTTTGGGGTTCAATGCTAGATGCATTCATGGTTTACATGGGGCGAAAGCCACACATTTTTTCAAGGGAGAATTGAGGGATGGCATGGTGTGCTGTTTAAACATGGGAGACCTGGGTTCAAATACCTGTGCAACTGTGAAGCTCGCGGGGTGGTTTTGGAGCCATCAGTATCTCTCAGCCAGAGCTCTCCAGCAGGCTCGTTGTAATGATACAATTTTTAGGAGAAATCCTATTACTATCCTGAGCTGCTTGAAGAAAGGGCAGGACAGAAATAAGGTAAAATAGACTGAGGGCCACGATTCTGTAATGACCTGCCATTAACTGTGGAGAGTTCCACAGGAGCTTTTGGAGCACCTGCTCCCTTGTACCTGGCAAAGAAAGCATAGCACCAGCTGCATCTGCGGGAGCAGAACTGTGGCACAGAGCAGGGAAAGGGCTACGCCAGAGGGCAGGGAGCAGCTGGGCTGCCTGCCTGTGCCTACTCCTATAAGCACTCCAGCCTTCTTCCCACAGCACTTTATTTAGACATCCAAGAATGGATGCCTAGATAAAATGCACCCATGGAGCAAGGCATGGTGGCTGCAGCACCTTGCTCTGGCCACTGGCTCTTCTAAGCCTCTGAGATTGGACTGGATGACATGCTATGATTCTTGTAGTTGGGCTTTATGGAGCAGTAGACTTGGTATAGCATACAATTTTGCTTTCTTCTTTAAACCTCACAGAATCAGTGACACAACATAGAAGCATGAACATCATTGCATCTTCAGAAGGAGATTGGTTTATAGTTGATTTTAACATTGTTTTATTTGTCTTAATCCCACTAAATGCAATGTTCCCTTCAGCCTTCCAAAAATACTTGGAAGACAAGTATTTTTAATCGGAATGCAAATTGTTAAGTGGCTCTGTAGTGCATGTGTGAAGATGGAATATTTTCCTCTGCCCATTTTTCTAAACAGAGAGAACAAGGAGGTATCAGAGATAAAACATCTAAGTGAACATAGAACTGACCCATTAAAACCAATGGATTTGTTGGTCATTACAAACCTAAGTCCCATTGATTTCAGTGGATCTACTCTAAGCATGTCTAAGTCTGGATCCAATCTAATGTTTTAATTATTATAGATTGACAAATTATGGTCAAATATCTTTATTTGCATGACATATCAGCAACATACCTTCAAAATGCCATTTTGTTGGAGTTGTACAGACTACAAAATAGGAATCAAGTTATGGTTTGTTAACATTTGTGTAAAAATAGCATTCTTCCTGCTATGTATTATAAATGCAATTCTTTGTGATATAGTAACCAGAGCTTCTATTCTCTAAACCAGATAACAATTCTGACATTATTTGTGAACTGTTCAGCTCTTTGGATATAAAGTTGTTTTTTGTTGTTTAGAAATGTTTTGTTATACTGCCTGTCAAAATATGCTCTCTTGAACCAAAATATAGTACAATATTTGTGTAAGAAAGTAGCTTATCAGCTTAGTGAGATGAAAACAAAATATCTCATTGTTAGCCATGTGTTACTATTTAGATAGGTCTAAGTGGGAAATATCTTACTCCAGCTTCTCAACTTGAGTGAGGCCACCAAATCCAATTCCTTTAGGACCAAAATTCTTTGCATAGCAAACTGCAAAAGAAAGAAATACTACATTTTAGCCATTGTCATAAGGTTCTCAACACAAAACATTTCCCTGATTCCCATCTGTCTTCTTTTTTACTCTGTTTCCCTCCTGGGCACTGAAGAAGAAGAATCTAAGAAGCTGGTGATATAGGAGCGGATGCATCGCCTGCTAACGTTGGATAAGGGTCAAGATTTGTTCATGTGAAAGGTGGTGTGTTTTGAGGGGGCTGGAAGGCTTGAGATGCCCTTCCACTGTGCTAAACATTGAGGGAAGAACTGAATGCTGCATTAGCATTTAATATCATATGTAGTTTAGCCCCTGAAGGACAATAATATGATCCTGAGAGAATGTGTACTTTGAACCAACTAATATTTCCCTGTAACTGATCTTGCAGTTGGTAGTGGCAGGAACCTAGTGGGATTAAGGTCCAGGTGTGCGCTGTTTTGTTATACAAGGTGAGCAGTAGCAACCATGTCTATCATTCAATGATACCACTAAAACCAAGTTCTTCTACATTTCTCCCAAATTTGTTGCATTTTCCTTGTTCCCCTACAAGTCTTCATGGGCTGCACCATAAGAAACTTTGCCTGAATTAAATGTTAGGCACTCTGCCACACTTGCCTTTACAGTAAATCTCTCCTTCTTTGTCTGTAACATTTGTTGATTCTAGACTTTTTCCACAAATAGCGCATCGGAAGCATGTCTTGTGCCAAGGCTGAAAAAGGAAGCAAAAGGTTGTTAAAGAAAAAGCCATAAGCCATAACCACTTTATTTGTTCCAGGTTTAGGCTTGTTTGAGTTGATCTGTACGTAAGGAGAACAATCACTGGAAACGTTTTTCCCCTTAATGTAATATGTGAAAGGAGGAACAGACCTGCACAGGACTTGCTACAATGGAGATGCTAAACCCAGCATTTCTCAATGTTGACTCATGCAACAAAGTATTAGGCTACTTGGGATGGTTAATATCTACCCTGTTGTTTCAATAGGAAGGTTGAATTTGTGAAATAAATAGGGGCAAGATGAGCTTTTAAAGCACAATCTTAAGCATAAATATTCATATGTACGTCTCACTAGATTCAAAGAGGTGCATTGGCTCAATCAATTCATGGTTTAAGAACACAAAGCAACTAACATTCATATAGTTAACTAACCTTTGTGAGACAAGATGTTGAACTAATAGCTCTCTCCATAGTGGCCTCCAGACATTTTGAACTATGACTCCCATCATTCCCAGCCATGTTACATTATAGATCTGTTTCTTACCTTTCCTCCTCCCATTATCTTCTCTGCAGCATATACTGATTTCCCACAACGAGGACATTTATCTACATCACCAAACTTTTTGGCAAACTTTGAAGGGTTGGTAGGTGTGGAAGGACGAGCTGGCTTTGGTGAACTGGTGGCAAGAAGATGTGGCACACAATAAACTTTTGATTAAGCAAGTATTGGAAACACAACGTGTGTGTCACAACATTCAAAATCAACCTCACTTTTGGTGGATGAATGCAAATGTTTTGTACAGAGACAGATACCCTGCAGTGTTTTGCATATGTTATAACTGTTCAGTAGTCAGTATTGTCCACTTTTGAGTGAATGGCCAAATGATACCAGGATTTCCAGGCAAGAAGTTCTGAGCACTGTAAATCCTCCAGGTTGTATCCAACATCCCTCAACCAACAGAATCCTTGTTGGGCTGAATGCCCCCTGTAGGTGTTCAGGCAGGGGGCACGAGGGGAGGGGAGGGGAGGGCAGCTCTGGTTGGGCAGACAGTAGCCCTGTGTATCTGGAATAAGTGCCTTTAATGCCACCCACACATTATACAGGAATTTGGTGCCATAGAACTCAACCATATCCCCTTTGCACTAAAGGACGGTGAACTGCCACCACCGGGCTCCATGCTGACCATCACTAACACGTATCAGAAGAATTGGCACTTTGCTTGCATAAGCAATTGGTTAAAGAGGAAGAAAATCTACCGATGTGAACCTTTAAGGATCCTCAGTCCCTCTTGAACGTATCTTTGTATTGTGAGCTCTAAACTGGCCTTACCAAACAACACTTGTCTGTTGAGGCTTTGTGGCAGCTATTCTGGAACTGCCTTTGGATGAGCTCATTAGGATTCTAACAGTATTCCCTATATTTTAACTGCTGATATCATTATTGATTTATCCATTTTATATATAGATTACTTTTTTTTCTTTTATAGACCCCGTAGAGCAGTTATGGTTGATTATGCAACTGGCGTCCTCATCCACAGATCTTATAAGGGGTTGTCTTCCATTTGTAACCCTTCCAATCTTTGCCTAATGCTTTGTCTGCCTTGTTAGGTTATCCCATAAAACCCATTAAGGGGGGAAAAGACAGAAAAGCTGCCCAATATCTTTTGAATAGGAGCAGGAGGAGCAACTATCCGGAAGCCCCCACAAGTCACCCATCATCACCTTGGTCCAAAATGCCGATTTGTTCAGTGGAAGGAGCTCACTGATGCACAAAGGAATGTGCACAAATACCCCCCCTAGCTCTGTTGACATGTCCAGGGCAGCCCTTTCCCATGAACGACCTCCAAGTGTTCCTTTAGGATTTCTGTTCCACAAAACATCCATAGAATTGGATCCAGAGTACGCCAAGCATGTATAAATCTGGATCCAACTCAGTATCTGGAGTGATATACACGGAACTCAATAGGCCAGACTTGCAGGTAAGTTTGCTTACAGTGCAGTCCTGTGTATGTCTTACTTTCAGAAATAAGCCCCACTGAGTTCCGTGGGAAATGGACTTATGCAGGAGTGTATAGACAGCACAGCTTTGGGGAGTGGTTATATTCTGATTCTAGAAATGATACACACCTATTTGAAATTAACTGAACTTCATGATACTACCACTAGTATTGTAAAGCTCTGATTCTTATTCTTACTTGCTTGCAGTCGTAATCTTCCCTTCTCTGTCATTATATTAGTTTGAACATAGAGGTCTGCATATGAAGTAGTAACCCTTAACCTTAAGTATTCAGAGAAAAGGCCTAGAGAAATGGAAGGGGGAAAACACCCTCTCAAGAGCAGATTGCATTGTGCCTATTCCAGCTTTAATAACATCTCAGTACAATGCAGTACAGTGATTCCACTATTGTACTGAGAACATCTCCCTTTGATTGTGCCACGCTTAATGAGTTTCAATTGCTGTGAAGATTGAAGTCTATGGTGACATGTAAAGCAAGTGCTCTTTCTGTAGCATAATTACCCACTGGAATAGGAAATAATTTGAAAGTAATGCTCTGCTGGGACTGAGCATCATTAAAACGGGGAGGAGGAGGAGAATATGAGACCTATTGAACAAAAGTCTCGGCTACGACTTCCTCTGCATGTTGTTATGGAAACTGAATGAAGTGACTTCATGCAATGCAGCCTGATAATTATCGAACAACTGAGAATTCCACTCACTGGTGTAAGTCCAGCCCGAGATGCTCTCCGGTGTCTGTGCTGAGGCAGCCGGCGCCTTGTCCATAACCAATCCCTTTGGGACCATATTTTCTCCCGTAACAGGTTTTGCAGTAGATTTCCGATTCATGGGCTGCTACTGTTGTGCTATCCAGAGCTTTTCTGCAAGCCACTGGAATGGAAGAAAATTCATGTTTCATGTGCTTGTTATCTCGACACGTGTCCTTGCATTTAAGGGATGAACAAGAGAGGGTTAATGTGGCCAGAAGGAGAACTGAAAGCTTCTTAACAATCTGTGGCAAAGTATACTAGCTGCATCTTTTATAAGAGAAATTACAGGTAGATAGCCCAGAAAGATCAGGTCTTGGTTGGAGAATTTATTTCTCTCATCCTTTCTTTCTATCTCTCATGCACACACACACCTCTCTGGCCAGAGTGAGGGAGCAAACTAGGTGTGTTCACTAAGGGAAAGAAGAGGAGAAGTGGCAATTTTAAGTGTAACGAATGAGACAGCTAGCTTTGAGCTCTGGAAGGGAAATATTTTGGAATGTCTGTGCCTCTCTCTGAAGAAATGTGGGAACAGTGGATCTGACTGCTTTGTTGGCATGTTAAACAGTGCCTCCATCTACGCTAAATTTGTATATTTGTAAATAAACTCAGAAATACCTACAGTCTCCAGGGTGCTCTCCTACAAAAGGGAACCACACCTGGGGGAGCAGGGCTCCTGGGATGCCCTAATATTTGATATTCTGATTTGATGGGGTCTCAAGAACCACTCTAGTCCCATTGTGAGCACCTTGAGTTGGAACCTGTTCTCAGCGACAGTCAGTTTCTGGCAAACCTGCCTGCCCCTGCAATGGGACTCTTACTATGGGGTCATGCTATAGGGATGTAAGGATTACTGAGAGTACCTGTATGAAATGCTACATTTCATTTTATCTGGGGGGGAATCTGATCTGATCGGATCTAAGCTGCACTTGTGTTTTAAAAATGTTTACTTACAGTGTATGTCAAGACTGGAACTTTGAGAAAGAATTATTTCCCATTTCTACGATTACCTCTGTGTAATTAACAGAGCCAACAGTGCTTCCAGATAGGCCAGCTCAAGAAATGGAGCAGCAACCACACCCACAACCTACATCCACAACTGCCTGTACTTGAAGCCAGAACCCCTGCAAACCCTTCTTCTTTCATGGCAGTAAACAAGGACTTGACACAAGTCATTTCTCGGCACAAATCATTAAGGAGGAAAAGAAACAGCTACCCAGTATATTTTGACTGGTAACATCAGGTCTAAAAAAATCTGGCCCATCTGGACCCTAGTCCAGCCTGCCAGGGTTTCACAGACAGTCTCAGAACCCTCCTCCAGCTGCATTCCCCTTTCTGAGACCACTGCTCATTGGTAGTTTCCCATCTTTTGAATTCCTGGCTCCCACATTCTGCAAGAGTGAAATGTCTTTATAGATCTGAGATTTATTTATTTGTATCCCACCAACTTTTCCTCCACGGATCCTAATACAGCTTACATTATCCTCATCCTCGTCTCCAGTTTATCTTCACAATCTTGTAAGGTATGTTAGGCTGAAAGTTATCGACTGGCCCAAAGTCACTCAGTGGGCTCCGTGGCCATGTGGGGACTAGAACCTGGATCTCCCAAGTCCCAGTCCAGAATCTCACTACCACGGCACACTGGCTTGTTTACTGACAGTAAGACTTCAAAACTAAAATATACTGGTATTTTTGGACTACCATCTGTCTGCCTTTGGCCCACCTGCCCCTGGAATGTAGCCCTGAAAGCGTCTCACATTGAATTTGACCCCCATCCCAGGCTAAAAGAGCTTCACATTCCTGTCCTAAGTAAATCCAGCACCAGAATGTAAAAGGTGCTTATTCTTACTTGGCTGCAGTTGTGGAAAAGACCTTTAAAAACATGTTGGGAGATGCCCAATATAAAAGTAACAATGCATTGCAATTCTTTCATTTGTCATCAGTGGGTTTTGGATAATCGTCAAATTGGAGGAAGCACAGTTGATTCCTGAAACACAAGGAAGGGAAATACCCCTAAGGCACAAGTGTGTGTTTTTTTAGACAGAAAAATGACCTCCTGGTCTATTCCAGCTGGCAGGGGATTGTGCCCTTAATTCTATTTTCCAAAATTAAGACCATTAAAGCAAGAAGCTCCTGTAGATTTGTGAAGCGGATCCTTCTCCATCCTCATCTGTGAGGAAATGTTAATTATGTTTACCGTGGGTGTTAAGAGATGAGAGAAACTCCAACAGCACTGCTTCTATTTTTGCCCCCCTTGGGACAGAGGATCGGCTGCAACAGATGGAGCAAAAGCCCTTGAAGTGCTATTGTTGAAATCATTCTGGAGATCTGTCAACCTGCTGGCAGTCATCGCAAACGAGTCTGGGATTTACAAATTATTATAATGCCTCGTGTCCAGCACATTTAAGCAAAAGCCAACAGACAAGTGCAATAGGCAAAGACAAGCCTCACATGTGGGTTATCAAGTCATGGTGCAAAAAATAATAGGTGACTAGTAGGGAGGCAGAGATTTCTTTTCTCCTCGAATCATACTATAATAAGCAATATTACTGATTTTGTTATGTGTATCTCTGTCACTAATAGTATCCAGTGCGCCTAGAACCATAAAGGCAAATAGTGCAATCAAAAAACTGCAAGTTACCAATTTCTAAAAGCAAACTCAAAGAACATTGAACACAACCAACAGCAGCAAAGCTAAAAGAAGATGCAAATTCATTATACATCCCATGCACGTCTCCACAAAATCAAGTTCCACTAAGTTCAGTGGGACCTGCCCCCGGAAAGGACTGAAGCCTAAGTTTGACAGCAATAGAATTGTTGAACTGAACATCGGTTTCCAGCCTCAATCTGGCAGCAGTAAAACTGTCCAGTTTCTGGAGAAACAGACTTGAAGAAGGAGTGAGACAGACCAGGATCAATTCCAGAGTTGCCTCAGTCCCACTGACAAGACTCACTTGCACCCACTTGTTGACTCTCCCAAGATGGCTTCTCCCACATTGATCTTAATACAAGGTCAACCATCCCATGCTGTTCAGGTACCACCAGCATGGAGTATGGTGAGACAGGAGGAGAAAGAGTTATTGTTAAATGGGATGAGATGAACTATGGGACTGGTCCATTGTCCACCTTCAATACTTTCCAAATGACTGTTCTCCAAGTATTCAGAACATTTGATGAAATGGATTTAATGGGAACATCAACATTTAAACGCTTTTCTTAGGACCCCAAGGGTATGGAAGTGGCTTCCACAGGAGGTGGTTAAGGTCCCATAGGTGAGGGTGTTAAAGGATAGGCTAGACATGCAAATGGTAGGCAAGTTGTGAGTGAAACTGGCTGGAGCCAGGGGTCAGACTAGATGGCCCAGGAGATCCCTGACTCGCTCTGTTTCTATGTTTCTTTTTATTTGAATGTATTAGCACTAAATTTAATAAAGTGTATGATTTTTTTCAGCCTTCAGGAATCTCTTCTAAAGACACAGCATTAATACCACAGTGGCTTAATATTATTTTAACACTAGATTATTGGATTACAATTATTTTAATATAAGTTAGAAGAAACTGCATGCAGTTTAATTCTGCCTGGGGGCACGTTTTGCTTCTTTTTTTAAGCTTTCACCTTCAGAGGTAGCTTACTGCATGGCCACTGTTTTCTCAGCTGACAACTCTGGGACTAGGATGAGCCTCCACTGCAGCCAGGCTCCCCAGTGGCCAACAGAGGCAAAAGGAACATGGAAATAGATTAAATTGCAGTAGTCCACTTAGCACATGGGTAACCCATCACCCTTCACTCTCAGTCTGCCCCTCAAAGTAGGCTGGCAAGACAAATAATTACTGATCAGAGTCTTAGAGGCAGGAAGCTTTTTCTAATGTTTATCCATAAATCAGCTCTCCTGTACTTTAAAACCATCATTCCTTCTAGTGCCCACAATCGATGTCAGTTTAAATTACAGGCAAACAGATGCTGAGCTGAACATTAGAGAAACCTTCCTTCCTATCACAGAAAATCTGTAAGAAAAGAAGCTGGTCTCTCTTACCTGTCAATCTTTTTCTGCTTTTGTACTTTGTTGAGCCATTCTTTTATCAAACCCTGTACAATTTTCCTTAATTTCATTTGATGCTCACATCTGATTTGCAACATCTGGGTTCTACACGGCTCCTAGCACAGTCCTTATGTTATGAGATTTTATTTTATTTGATGGTCCCTTAAATTGTTCTATCTCATTTTCTGTAATTTGTGTCAATGTCAATTATTCAGACTCCTTATTGAAACAACAAGCAGTGAAAATCTACATTTTGTTATGCCCAGGTTCTGCTCGAATTAAGCATTGTGATGCACAGTGAATGACAGGTTAGCACTGTCAGTTACTATCTCAGATAGCAGGACTAGTAAGAAGACAGACAGGAATCTGCTGGAAGGACCTTGGTGATTTGCAGTAGATCTCTTACTCCCAACATTTTTATAATAGTTTTCTTCCTGAATTAGATCACTGAAATCAAGGAAGTTTGGTGGGGGTCAGGGTGGGGCAAGTGTCTTGCAAGCTTCAGCTCCATAGTTTTGTGCCTGTCTTCCCCTGTCGCTATTTTGCACTTGGGTCTCTTTGATGGACCTCAAGTTTCTAGTGAAAAAACCATTCTCCTCTGCCATATTTTATTCATTTCTTTTCATTTCTATACTGCTGATAGCTGAAGTTCTCTGGGCTTCACAGTTTACAACAAAGTATAAAACAATGCAATAAATAACAATGATAACAACTAAAATTAATTTATAATAGCATAAAAAGCATTAAAAGACGATAAAAAGACACAGCCAAGAATAAAAGAAAGGGACCTGCCTAAACATGTCAGGCTCCTGAATAACCAGTGAGGTCTTAAAAAGCCTCTGCAAAGAGGGTTGCCTTAACCTAGTGCCAAAAAGATGGCAAATTTGGTAGTAACTGAATGCTAATGCAATCTCAGAATGGCAGTCAAAATGACATCATTCGATCAATGTACAAGCAGGAGGTATTAGCAGGCTTGGAGGATCACCAAGGATTTCTGAAGAATAAAAAGTTGTTATGGAGAAACCACTATATGAAAACCTGAAGAACACCCAGTAAGGCTTGTACACTACCTCTGGCTCCAATGAAATTTGGGACTTTTCCACCGCTACAAACAACACCCAAAATTAGCAAAAATGCTTGTTTCTGGTTTGGGGCAGATCAGTAGAACTTGTGCAAGCTATGCTTACTTGTTCCAACCCAGAGTTACTCCTAGAAGTGCCAAAGTCCCATTGGGTGAGCAGCGGTTGAACACAGAGGCACCTGGATACCGCCAAAGGACTGAGCATGCTCAGTGCTCACAGACTGTGAAAGGAATGCTGAGGGCAGGGATGGGGAATCTGGCTGGTGGGTGGGGGGAATGGAGTAGCCCTGAAGACGCGCAGGGCTGGCTGGCTGGCTGGCAAGCTGAATAGCAACATTCCACAAGGCAGCATCTGCTGCAGCTCCTTCTTCCATTTTGTAACATGTGATCATAGCAGATAAGTGATTAGAAAGGTAACATACAATATCAAACCAAGCTATAAAATGAAATGTAGAGTTTGTTCACTAGTGTTTCAACTTGCGGTGGAATACTTTTCATTGAGCAATGGAACGTAAACACCAAGCTATAAAGTTAACATTTGGGATCCTAACAGTAGATCTATATTGTTGTATATTGCATCCGGAACTCTGACTGAAGGGCTGATTCAGACATTACCCATGATAGCATAAAATAAAGTGACAAATGCAAGTACCATTCACATTGGTTTCTGTTTCATAAGATTATTTTCCATAGTCTGGGAGACCCTTCTACACTGCATGTAGCAGGTATATAACATATAATGCAGGGTAATAAGAAGGAGAGTATACAGCTACACTATAGTCCTATAGGCAGTAGAGATCTGTCATTGTTAAATATACTAAATAAATTAAATATACACATCAGATCCTGAGATGCATGTGTGGGCAATCACATGCATTCTCTGATTTCCCTGTGTGTATGTCCGGTTTCCACATGTGCAAACTGGTTTTCAATGTTTGTGCCTTTGCTGGTGGATAAACTCTCAGAATATTTATTAGTTCACCATCCCTAGATCTCCCACCCTTATAAATACTCATGTGCCTCAAATATCTAGCATTCCTTATCTGGCTTTGGAACAATGCCATTCAAAAACACATCTCAAAGTGCTTGCAAATGCTAGTGTTTTCTTGACATTGGACAGCTAGAATTTGAATGAACTGTGGAACAGACTATCTTCATCAGAAGTGTTTAAGGAGAGATTAGATGGGATGCTGTAGGTGGGATTTCTTGCATTAGCAGGGGTTGGACAATCTCCTTGGAGGTTCCTTGCAATTCTATAATCCCATAAAAACAATTTTCCTACAGCATTATGACAATGTGACATGCCAATCCTACTTAGAATCCTAGGATTTCTCTGCAGATCATACTCCATTTTGGACCTGGCTTCTGAATGCATTTATTGCTGTTTAATGCACCATTACTTTTAGCAGAAATAAGGAATGCTATGTGCTGTAGCTTATGTGACACAAGAAACATAGCAAGCGAAGCAAAATAGTATAAACACACTTACTGCAATGGAAACATGTCTTATGGAAACTCCTGCCATTGCATTGGATTTCCTCAGCATGATAGACGGTCTTGTCACAGGCACCGCATTTGGCTCCACCTCCCCAGTTTGGCATCCTTGGAGTTTTCTGCTGGCTTGAAACACTGCCTTGAAATCCAAAACAAATAAGTCAGAATCAGCAGAAATTAGTTGCTTGCTCTACACACATCTTTATTACTGTGATGCTTTGCTGGCTATTTAATAACAAATGCAATGAATTAAAGATGCAACCTAGATGTGCAGAGTACACCTGGTTCAGCTCGCTGCCTGCCTGCAACAGAGCGTTTGGAATAGTGTGGTCTGAAGCAAGCCCTGATATGAAAGCGAAGGATCACCAGGACAACATTCTTTCTCGTTTGTAGGATGATCAGTAATTCTGTCAGGTCTTCTTTAAGATTTGCATGGCACTACTTTAAGATTTCGATGGGGTGGTGGAAATTCCACCGGTTGCTTTTCTTACCAATCCAACGCTGTGGTTGGGAAAAAAAGGTGACTAAAAATTGATTCCCAGATTTCTTGCTCTGATTACAGGTATCAGATGGAGGGTAGAGGGAAAGAGTTTTGGAAATTTTCTCAGGGATGGTTTAAGTTGGAGCAAGTGTTGCAGAGATTGTGCTCACCATTTTGCAGTAGTTGTTGCTTCTTTTCTTTTTCTTGTGTATCTGTGTGCGTGCTGGAAGCTGTTATTTCCCCCAACCCTGCCCACATCCGGTTATAAAAAATCATAGCCACTTGTCCTGTTTTCCAAACCCAGCCATTGTGATTAATCATTGCGATTTAAGCTTGGTCATCAAGCATGCTAAGACACAACTGCCTGTTCTATGGTTTTTTCCTACCATGGTCGCTTGTTCTGTTGTCCAAACTTGGACAACTTTTGGAAAGGTATGGCATAATAAAGATGCTTCTTCCCTATCCATCAAAAGGGATTGTGCACCAATTTAATCTTGTCTCCTTACTTGTAGAAAGGAAAGAGACAGAAGAGGTGGGAAACCGTGGGAGAGTTACTAATGATCCCTCATAGAATTCTGTGACTGAGGCAGGGGCAGGCAACTACAGAGTAATAGCCTTTTCTGGAAGCATCCATAATATCATTCCAGGATGGTGGAAGGGAGATGTGTTGGCCCCTGGAGGAAAGTGGTCATGGAGGAGGAATTAGTAGTGGCAACAGACGGTCAGCAGGATAAAAAGGCTGAGAAGAAACTTCTGCAACTGACAGGAAATAGTCCTCCTGAGACTTTCAGCACAGGCCAGCATAAGATATTTTGCTTCCTGAGGCAGAAAATCAAATCCAACAGCCCCCACCCCCCCACACACAGTCACACTCATGGCCTGCCAAGTTACTGTGGCACTTGTGGTGGAAAATTTCAGAAGCACCTCTCCCCCGGTCCAGCAGTAAAAACCCAACAATATATTTCGTAATATCCCAGTTCAGCTGCTTGCAGTAGCCATCTCATTCGGCCTCATGACAGAGCCAGCCCATTTTGTAGTGCTGGTCCCTCAGAGATTTTACTTACACACATGCACACACACAAGCTGAGACTGGACATTCTGCATAGGAAACTTTCAGCTCAGTCTTTCTTTAGAGAACACAGATGCACACAGAGAAGAAAATGTCATGGTCTCTTAACTAGCAAATATTAATGGTACAGGATTTCCCTCAGGCTCTGAACTTAGCTGTCTCACGATAAGGGACTGAAAGAGCAAATCTGTCAGCCTGAAAGCTTGTCTCCCTGTGTATGGGGAACAGAGGATACTTTGAATCTGCGAACCATATTGGCTGCCTTTCCAAGGCTTGAAATGGACCTCAGAGAGATGCTAAAGGGGGCAGCGAAGGGAGCGGACTGGGAGCATCCTGACAGCAGCCTCCTTTCCTCTCCCTGCAAAGCTGCCCAAACTGGCCAACCAGCCAAAGTGCAGAGTAGAAGGAAGGAGGAGACACAGATCACTTTCACTCCCCCTCCTCTCTGCTTCAGTGCTCATAAGCCTCCAGGTTCAGGGGTTAAATGCACCAAAGGTGCAATGAGTGGCACCCTAAAAAGGATTGTACTGCCTATTTTGGATGAGGAGGCTTTGCTGTTGGTACAGTGGGCACTTCCAGATGTGGCTTTCATCCTACAATTGTCTTGCCTTGCTCATGGAATACTCTTTCATAGGACAGCAAATTTTGCCCCTTCATTTGGTAATTCTTTCGTGTTTATTCATTGCCCCCCCCTTTTTTTCTTTCCACTGGAAAAAAAAATAAGCAAAACACAACCCTACGTAGGAAAAAAAGGTGGAATCACTAGATAGTATGGTAGCACTAGGGGCCCTGTGTCTGGAAGCACCCTGGCCGTGCTTGCCTGACTGGAATATGGGTACATACAGCAGTAGTTCTAGGGTGCTTCCAGATGAATGACCCCTATCACTACCAGTCAAAGATCACAATGCAGTTGTTATTCCATCTTTCCCACCATAATGACTTGGAGTGCTTTCTAGCAGCTGCAGCTGTGGCCCTGTCAAGACAGGGATAGCTTGATTTCAGTAATCTATGTGCTGGTAGTTTCAAAATTAGATTACTGAAATGCACTTTCCATGGAGCTGCCCTTGGAGACTGCTTAGAAGTTGCAACTTGTACAAAATGTGGCAGCCATATTGGTAACAGGGACCAGAAGGTCCGAATACATAGCATCAGTTCTGACCAGCTTGCATTGACTGCCTCTATGCTTCTGAGCCCAATGCAAGGTGCTAGTTTTAACCTATAAACCCATAGGTTTAGCCTATAAAGGTGTTAACCTACAAAGATTTAGGGAGAAAACCATAAAATATGCACATATTGATTTATATATGTTTCTGCAAAAAACAAATACTAGAATGTATTTAAATTTAACAGGAGGCAAAGCCAGCCAATGAATCTCCCCATACAAATAATCTTAAATAAAATAAAGTCTTCCATTGATTTTCAGCCTGCTACAAACCTTCCAAAACCACTGGAACATTTGTTCTAAAGCTAAATTGACATGCAAAAAGAATTGCAGCCTGTGAGGATTGAATAGTTAACCTTTCCTTGCAGCTCCCCTGAAAATCCCCCACACCCGGGCATGGCAACTGTGCTAGCCAAAAACATCTTCCATTGGCACCTAACACGACTCTGGGGAATTGACCAATGGCCCCAAGAAACAGGTTTGGACAGGGGTTCAGAAGCCAAGCCTAGCAGGGTTGACTACACAAAAAAAACCTTATCTGGACGCATCTCTCATTGCAAAAGCTGTGGTAAACTGCTAGTGCAAACATCCCATTTTCATTATATGGAATAACTCCCCCCACTTTTTAGAACAATTAAATTAACAGGCAGGCAGGCAGGCAGGCAGAGAGATGCCAGTGGGCAACATTGGCTACATTCTCTGCTGCTTCATATTTTAAGCTTAGCTCCTTTCTTTCTTTAGCTCAGTCTTCTCTCCTGCATCCCCAGAGCAGACGCTATTTTATCACAGCTTGCTATGCTGTGTTGCTCAGCGACCGAAGTTAAAAAGAAATTCCTCCCTGCAGGCAGCGTGTTTCTGAGATGATATGGCTGGTTATGAAGACAGACTGCAAAATTCCTTCAGATACACAAAACCTAGGATTGATTCACACATCCATGGAAAGCAACTGATAGCACATTGCAAGGTCTTCTCCTTTCATGATGGATTTGCAAAGAAACACACAGCACTGCCTCCTGTCCAAAGCATTGTCTGCTTCATTCAAGGGCTTGTTCACACAACAAAGCACTGCTGTAAGGACTGATTTATGAATGTGTCTCCTGAATTTATCCAAGCTGCTTAGATTTTTTTAAAAAGAGACCATCAAGCAATATATGACTCTAATAAATAAATGGATATATTTTAATTATTGATGCTTATGTTTATTTCCTACCTTTCCTCCAAGGAGCCACAGGGTCTCCATTTTATCCTCACAACAACCCTGTGAGGTAGGTTGGGCTGAGTGTCCATGACTGGCCCATAGTCACCCAGTGAGCTTCATGGCCAAGTGGGACTACTACCCCCATCTCCTGAGTCCTAGTTCAAGATTCTATCCAGTATTCCAAACTGGCTCACGTGTATGCAGAATAAGCTTTGGATCTCCAGAGGTTTGGGACTTCCAGCTATTAGCCATTCTACTAGGGAATTCTGTTTTGGAATTCCAAAACATCTGGAGATCTACCTTCTGCCCATCCCTGTTTTTAAACAGCAGTGCATCGTGTGCGCGGAAACTTTATAACAGGAGGGACTAGAAGGGATGCTGAGTGGGGATAAGGAAGGCTGGTGTTGAAAATAAAGCTGGGTATGGACCTGTTTTTAAATCTTGGTCAATGTTATACCTCAGAGACTGTTCTGAGGAACCATGTCAACTGGCTGTGTTTCTGAGCCAATTCTTATTTTATTTATCACATTACATTTCTGTACCACCCATCAGTCAAAGCTCTCTGGATGCTTTACAAGACAAAGCTTAAAATAATAAAATATAGCAACACAGTAAAATACAAATATATTATAAAACCTTAAGTTCAAAGGAGAATAAAACCAAACAAGTAACCAAGACACCAGCAGCAGTGCAAAAAGCACACAATTTTACAACTGAAGAGGTAATAAAAAAAAACTTGGAAAGGTCTTCTCCTAGCACTGAAAAGTCCACAGAGAAAAGTCTCTCAAGGGACATTATTCCACAACTGGGGTTCATTTGGTGGGTCACCTGGAAAAGGGCTCTTAAGAGTCCAGGAAGGAATATACAGAAAGAGGGAGTGTTTTAGGTAACTTGACCCAAGCTGTTTAGGGCTTTTTAAATTACTATCAGCACCTTTAATTTGGAAATAGATTGGCAGCCAGTGCAGATCATAAAGCATGACAGCAATAAGAACACTTTGGTCAATTCTCATTAATAATCTTGTAGCCCTGCTTTGGAGCCCATGTGAACAGGTGGAGCCATGTCTAGCTTTGAAAAGGTGTACTCCCAAACTTGTGTTTGCCAAGATGCAGAGAATGGTGAATTGGTGGTGGAGAATGGTGTGAAGAAGGCAGACTCTTGGGTGGGAAGCAAATATTCCAACCTTCTCACTGCGTCTCCTCTGAACATGCCCTCTGAATTTTGGGATT